CGCGCGTCTGACTCTCATCGGCCTGCGAAAAGGCATAGCCACGCTGCTTACGCATACGCTGCACCTGCCGAACCTTGCGGATAGCCTTTTGAAATTGCTCCATCCTATTGAGTAAACTGTTAGCAAATCATCACACATCTCTTTCTCTACCTTGGCAGGTTTCGCATGGTAAATTTAAGGGGAGGGGTTAAAAGGAGGCTGTGTACATACCTAGGCCGGTAGTCCTGAATATTATACTTTTGAATCTCCTGAATATGGTGGTACGTCTGTGGAAAGTACATTCGCTTGACATACTTCCAGGCAAAGTCGCGCGACAAGCACAAACATGCCAGCACAAAAGTTTGGAGCCAAAAGATTGGGCTGCCGTACAGCTTGGGAATAACGCCAAAGTACTCGGTTGAGATGTGGACCTTGGGCGCGACGGTACCGTATACGGCAATGAAAACCCACCAGACGGCCATGCTGCCCGGAATAGCCAGAACATGGTACTTGGTCCAGTTGTTCGTTACCAGTGCCGCTTTGCCCAAGACCGTAAGGAGGACAGCTCCGTACAGAGCCGTTCCCCACACCCAGTGACCGTCAGTCTGTCCCTGGTTGTCAATCACATCGCTGTACCAGATCAACTCGGCAAAGATGTAGAGGACGAGGGAGTGATAGACAGCATTGACAATCCATTGCGCAAACACTTTGAGCTTGAACGCGGAATTCTGCTGGCCCATCATGTAGAGCTGAGGGTAACGATCGAGCAACCGCGCAGAAATGAACTGATCCAGGATACCAATAGCAAGAGGCGGAAAGAAGGTAAAGAAGACGTTGTAGAAAGACAAAGTCCATGATTCGTAAATAACTTGGCCGGAGAAAACATTCTGGAACGTATACCAAAACTGCGTCAGGTATAGGGCGATATTCTTGTAAAAAGAAAACAGAATCGCCTTGCTCACTCGCTGGTAGCTCCACGCGCCGTGAACGAGCAGCAGCTTTCGTAAATACCTGAACTGAGCAATAGCCACGTCGGCACTTCGTGCGGCCTGTAGACCTTCTTCGCCGCTGATACCAACACCAATGTGTGCTGCCTGGATCATGGAAACGTCGTTTGCTCCGTCGCCAATAGCGAGAAGGATTGATTGCTTTCGATGCTTCTTGACCAGCTTGACGACCAATGCTTTCTGTAAGGGTGACACACGGCAACAGATGACTGCCTTGCACATGATGGCGAGATCGAGGAAGAGCTTATCCAAGCCCTTTTCAAGAGCAAAGGTGAGAGATTTGCCGTCAATGATGAGAGCAAGCGACTCCATTTCAATGGTACCGTCGCCTTGTGTCCTAATGGCATCGAGCTTCTTCTGGATATTGTCACGGGTTGCAGCGGCCGTCTCTTCGTTGACAATCAAGAGCATCATATCTTCACTCAGAAGCTTACAACTCATTCCGATGTTAATGGCCGTTTCCTGTCGATCTCCCGTCAAAACCCAGACCTTGATGTTGGCCTGCTGGAGAGTGTGAATGGTCTCTGGTACGCCATCCTGGAGACGATCTTCGATGGCAGTTGCGCCAAGGAGGTAAAAGTCATGTTCAATAATTTCAGCAGCCTTGTCCAGCTCGTCAGCTCGGTTACCGCCCACAGTCGTCGCTGCCGTGTCGAAGAGCTGGCGCCATTCTTGGTATTCTTGTTCGGGAACTTCGCGCATAGCCAAACAAAGCGTTCTGAGACCCTCCGAGGCGTACTCTTCGAGATGGCGCAAAGTGACTTCGACATGGGGATTCTGGTCGTTTAGTCGTTCCAAGATGACGGTATCAGCACCCTTGCAGTAGATTCGAACCTTTCCATCCGGACAGCGGAAAATGGCTGACATTCGCTTACGGGTCGAGTTGAACTCGCAGACGGCCAGTAGTTCATATTCCTGCGGTCGGCCATTCGCTTCGATAATGACGGATCTGGGCTTTCGAGCAGTAAATCGGTAACCCATGGTGACCGCTCCGGCCACCAGCGCACCTTCATCGGGAGAGGCTGCTTGATATTTAATCTGTCCTTTCTCGTCCATTTCGGGTATAACCGTGTGGCAGGTGGCCAGCAGGGCGAGGAAATGATCAATCATTCCCGCGGTCTCATGGCCTCCTTCCAGGTTGGCTTGGAGCGTCTTGAAATCGAAAATGGCTGACTCTTCATCGTCCATACCAGTCGACCGGCGGTCTTCGGGAACCTCTTCGGCATACATGATGCCACCGATAGAGCATTGTTTGAACTCCATCTGGTTGCATGTAAGCGTACCAGTCTTGTCTGAAAAGACAAACTCAACCATGCCAAGCTCCTCAACCAAACTCGAAGTTCGGCAAGTAGCCGGCGTATCATTCTTATCGTAGTACATGTCAAGATCGTCGTTGATGAGAATACCCTGCCAGTATTTGACCAATTCTATACTAACGAAGAGAGAGATGGGAACCAAGGCAGAGAACAACACCCAATACGTAACCATGTCTTTGAAGAAGACTCCGGCCGCGGTTCCAGCGCTGTCGATTTTGTCCAGATAGAGGTAGGAAAGCGAGTCGCCCGTGGCGCCGCGCATAACCAAGTCGCCAATGGTACAGATGAGACTAAGTGCCAACAGCATACCGACTAGCATGAGCACGAGCCAGTTGAGCTGTCTCTCGACCTTGGTACGCTTAATTGGCGTTGCCGTGGCGTTTCGCATTAGCTTGGTTTCGTGGCCCGTGAAGACGACAATGCCGTGGATCCATGGAGTATTTCTCAAGGTGGCGCCTCGGAGGAGCAGCTGCTCTGGGTTCAACGCGAGCTCCTTTTCTCCTCCACCTGCTTGCATCGTCAATGTCGCTTCGTACGTGTACAGGCTGCTGTTGGGCTGTTCCGACTTGATGCGCCCGCCTAGCCGGCTCAGCTCGCTAGGTGAAACCATTGTCGAAGTCTCGGGGAGAGCTTGCTTAATCTTCAAGTTGGTCTCGCCGTCCAGGTTTGCCGTTTCGATATAACAGAGACCTTCGGGCTCGGAACTTGCGAGGAGAACCAGATCGGCCGGAAAAGGCTCCTCGGACTCAACTCTGACTACGTCACCAATTGTCACAGCATTCCATTTCGTTTCCGTAAAATTTGAACCGCGTAAAACTCGCGCCAGGGAAGTATTGAGAGCATTATCCGCCGTTCGTCTTCGGTAATCCTCAACCAATTCCTTGATAGCAGAGACCAAGAGCACAATGGCCAATGGTCCGATTGTCGTGTACTTGTTCGTGGGCGAAAGACCGGGGATCTGTTGCAAAGCGGCCGTGAACAAGAAGAAGATGTTTGCAACCTTTGAGAATTGTTCAAAGAGAAACTTGGGTAGAAAGGTGGCGACATTATATTTGGCCGTTGAAATGTGATTGCCAACGTACTTGTTGGCGGCATTCGCAGGAGGGTTGTTCAGGTGGATGATCCTTGGTCCCATAGTCGAAGGATCCGGTTTGCTACGGCCAAACTTGAATTTGCTCATCATATTCCCCTTGGGCTGTTCCGGCTGCTGCTGCTGCTGCGAAGGAACCCGCGCCCCTGGCTCTGTCAGAGGCAAATCCATTTCGGAATAGCCCTGGCCCATCCCGAGCCTATGCTTCAGCTTGCCGAAAAACCCTCCCCCTAGAGTCAACACACTGTTACGGGCCATCGCATTGTTTCTAGCAGCTGAGGACTGCCCCGCATCCCCGGCGCTTCCTTGCTGGTATAGCATGTCATCTTCAGGATAGTCGTCGTAGTCGTCGGCGTAGCGCTGGTAGTTGTTGAGGTCTGACGATTGGCTGAAATTCCCAGCGTGATACGGCCCCGATTGTCCTGGCGGTTGCGCCGCCTGCGCTCCCATGGAGCGACCTGCTTGTGGATATGACGACTCGGCTCCGACAAAGTCATCGTAGGACACAGAGGGCCGGCTCTGCGGGTCGTGGTCGAGATCATAGGCTCGGGCAAGATCGTCGTCGTTCAGGGTCGACCGCTGCCCTGCGCTGTAGATTGGCTGCTCGTTGTCCAGGTCGAGCAGCAGGTCGTCGTTATTTGAGGGCCCGCCATGGCGTCCCACAGGTTGTCGTCCAGCCATGCAGGACAACAAGCGATGGGTTAGGCGATCGAGGAGGCGGGATAGCAACGCATGCGGAATCGCTGTCGTTGAAAAACCAGCACGGGCGGCTTTGTCTCTTTGTCGTTCTGTGAGGTCGGATTCTGGATGGCGGACTTGCAACTCGGGTCGAAACAAGGCCCGCGATATCGATAGCGTCTGCTCCGCCAGACCGGTGATCTGTTCCGTTCCGTGTGGCTGCACAGCCTCGTTTCGGCGCAGGCCCTTTGTGCTGGACAGTGGGACGCTTGTCGAGGCTCAGGGCGCTGGTACGTCAGCACCAGCAGACAGAGGCGCAGTGAGGTTCAAAGGAGCTGGATGGAAGTAATAATAGCAGCAAGCAAGCGCGGATATCTAAAGCTCTCGGCAAGGTTTTTGGGGGGTCTAGGAACTGCACTGGGTTCTTGCTGCTCCCCTCTAACCCCCTCCCCAGGATTCGATACGAGCGCTGATGCTGAAAGGGGGTCCGTGTTAGCTGGCTTTTACAGCGTCTACAGGCGTCTGCGTGCTGCAGCTCCACTGCCGCAAGAACTTGGGCCCACGTTCCAGCTTGGTTCCCCTGAGAGCATCCCCTTTGCGACAAGTCTCTCTCCACTGCAACTTTAGCGGCGAGATACTTTGCTGAATGCCAGAGCTCGCGTCGAAACACCGAGTTTCGTCACCCTTGGAATTCAAACAGTATATCGGCGATTTTATACGGAGTACCTGGTACGAGCCAAGAACGTCAGTCCGCCACTGTTATCTCAGCCTTGCCACAAGCATCCAACTTTAGACATCAAATACGTAAGGCTGAGCATAAGTGTTGAAGGATAGAAATACCATCACTTCCTTCACTCAGACTTATTTATAACCTTTTTTTGTGGATATCGATTAAGCGAACCGGATACGAACACCAGCTTCAACACAGCCATGGTGTGCAGTAAGTGTCTGAAGCTCACCAAGAGCACAAAGCTCGCGACCCCAGAGGTCAAGAAGAAGAGTGAGATGTACTACGGATCACCGGCTTCGTCGAAGGCGAGCGGCTCCAAGTCGGCCACTCTAGGCAACACCGGAGTGTCAAAGGTATGAATAGCCCACGTTCAGCTCTTTTTATCAAAGAATAATACTAACGGTTGTTCTCAGAGTAAGCTGCTGTCCAAAGCGGCGAAGAATCCATATGCGGCGTATTCAAGGTATGTTCATATCAAGGGAACCGGGGCAGTATACTTTGAAGTAGCTAACAACTGATACAGCTCATGTACAAAATGTAAAACCAAAATCACACAAGGCCATTCCTACTGTCAAAAATGCGCCTTTAAAACAGATTGTGAGTATATCCATCTTGGTTGCTATTCCTTTGCTTTTCCTTGGCCACTTGAGCTTACAAACATCACAGCCTGTCCCATGTGTGGAAAGCCAAACAAGAAGACTAGCTCCAAGGCCCCGGCCATTGATGCATATAAAAACACGCTATAATAAATGAAATCAACATGCGTACATACGACAAGCCATCATTCTATCTGACACAAGAGTCAGCACGCCGCACATCTCACCAGATACACGCGTGTGCTGAGATTACATGACATCGCGAGGCAGCACACCATGTTCCAGTACAGCATTGTTCAGACACATGAACTTCAGGCCCTTTACAGAAACCTGAAATAGTCACAAGTAGAGAAAGGCTCTCTAGCAGTAAGGAGGTACCAGGGCTGAGCTTGGTGACAACGACAAACACGCCGATTTGCAGAGAAGATGTGTAGCCCACTCGGCAATTATATATTCTATGTAGGCATAGAGTTCATACGAGTGATTATCCAGCCTAGATATAAGGCAAGAATAGCAATAATTCGGAAATTCAAGACCAAAATAAGCTCGTGCTATCATCATTTACACATTCATATCTCATTCAGTAATCCATCTAGTCTAAAGCACAGATCGAGGAACACCACCCAGCACCTTATTCAACCACTGCCCAATCTGCCGATTCACCTCATGCCCAGCCTCCGCCAAAGCCCAATGCGAAGCATTCACCTCCGTCTTCGTAAGATCCGTGTAAAACGCATCCATCCCCTTCGCCATCGCCGGCGGCAACGCACTATCCCTACTCGCCGAGATGAATAACGCCGGCATCTCATACTTCATCGCACTCCCATTCTTCTTCGCATGCTCCGCCTCCTGCTCCGAGTTAATCTCCCGCGTGCGGTACCAGTTCAGCGGCCCACGCATCTCAGGCGGCCCATGCAGCGAATACTGCTCGACGTAGTGCTCCAGCTCCTGCTCGTCCAAGAGCAGAGGCGGCCTCAGTTTATCCAGGTTATCGAAGAGAACGCCCTCGCTCGTGGTGAAGCCCGTTTCGCCGTTGGGGCCTCTTGCGCCGAACAGGGCGAGGAAGAACTTGCGGAGCATGTCTTTGCCTTGGATCCGGGCTTGCACGTCGGGGCCTCCGAGCTGCAGCTGGTATTTGAAGTTGGGCAGGCCTCCCGCAGCAATGATGTTCTCGAGGCGAACCTTTTTGGTGTTTATGGGGTTTAGGGGCGTGCAGACGGAGAAGACGGCTTTGATCAGCTCGGGATAGTAGTAGGCGACTCGCCAGACGATGGCACCGCCCCAATCATGGCCACCAAGGATGATCTGGCCCTTTTCGCCGACAAACTCGCGAGCCAGCGCAACGACATCAGCGCAGACGCTCTGGAACGAGTATTCCTTGATATCCTCGGGGGCATCGGTGCCGGCATAGCCAACCATGTTGGGCGCCACGACCTGGAAGCCCAGCGACATCAAGTAGGGAATCTGGCAGCGCCATCCGAAAGCCATGTCCGGCCAGCCATGAATGAGAAAGATTGTGTCGACCTTGGGGCCCTGAGGCTCGCCAAGGATGTAAGAGTATGTCTTGCCGCGGACTTGCTTAGTCTCGTACTTGACCCGAGGGTCGTTGGGCTTCAGTTTGCTGGTGTCCATTTTGTGGATTTTTCAGTTGCTTAAAGACTTGATGAGCTATAACAGAAATGGCTTGTTAGGATGAAACTAAAATATTAAAGAGACGTCTGTTCATTTAAGTAACAAGACCACACCAATTGGTGATACAGACGGATAAACGCACGTAGGTAGTGGTGAGGGGCTCCAGTACCACGAAAGACCGTCAGCAACGCCTCCAATCTTGGAAGAAAGTGTAAGACAGAGTAATTTTAAGTTTAATACAAACCTTGTCTTTACTAGTCTCAAGCAATTGAAAAGGAGAAGAAACCGCCGTTGATTGTCACAGCATCGTTCGTGTCACTAATAAGAGGCACAGCGCCGTTCTCCATACATATTCAATCCCCACTACGGGCCTCGGCCGGCACTCACAGCTGCTGTGGGGCATCGTTGCAACAGGTTATATGCTCCGTGCTCCCTGCAGAAGCATGCCGAGGAAGTTCGTTACCGCCTAAAACCTGGTAATTTCAGCCAACCTTGCTCATTTAGATGCCTGTACTTGATGATGATCGCTTGCTCCATACGGTAGCTACGGTACATATCGCGTGGTATCGAATGTATTCCTCCGGTATAAGCATGTGGCTCTCTCAACGGCACTCACGCCACCTTCATGTAAACCCGGGACGATAGCAAACAGCCATTACCAAGTACAGCACTACTCTCTAGCTGCGACTACTGCTACTTTGTAGATGACGAGTGCAATGATCAAGTATTATTTTTTCACAGAACACTTCGTTTCCTTCTCGTGCTCTTGCTTGGAACATTCTACCTTCAGTACATAATTGTAGCTCCTCATAGCAACCAAGTACCAAAGACTGCAGCACCGTTATATAGGCCCTTGAATAAAAATACCCACAATAGATAAAATAAGAGCAGTGGTATAAAGAAACAAACATCACTTGGCCTTTAGTGCTTCAAAGTAAAAGAAAAATCGGGGGGAATCATTTCGTAAAAATCGGTCAGTAAATCACCATGTCCTCCTCAGCCTCTTCAAGATCATCACCAGATTCGTCGTGATGGCCCTTGTGTATGTCTTGAGATACTCTTCGCTCTTGTAGATGGGGCTTGTCGGCGCCGTGATGCGGGCTCCGGGCAGGGCTCTCGCGTTCAGGCGCTCTCGTGGCAGCAGCAGCAGCAGCAGGTTCATCAGGGGTCACGCTTGTTTGCCTCGTCGGGGGACCATACCGCTCAATGTGCCGCTGTTTCCGAGCCTTGAATTGCTCAACTTCCTTCTCTATTGAGGCTCTCGCCCTCTGGATCTGGTCGTCGATGGTGTCTTTTTGATCTGCTGTGACCTTCCACGGTAGATAGAACTACATACCCATTAGCGCAAGGTTGAACATCAACTGAGGTGACTGATACATACAATCGCAGGCTCAGATCTAGTCCGCAGAAATTTCGCCATGGCTAATCGTTTTTCGTGCTTGTTCTTCATCTGCAAAAATCCAGAATCAGCACCATCTTCTCCAGTCTTCTCGTGTCGCGCAGCTCTTACCACTTCTTCGTCAAACACAATCTGCTCAGCCATGCGGATCTGATACAGCTTCTCTAGCCTCTCGCTTCTCTTCTGGTCATCTTCAACTCTCTGCTTCTGCATACGCTCTTGCTGGCGGCGCTCAATTTCCTGCCGCCGCTTCTGCTGCTGGGACGTGTTAGATGTCTGGCTTAGAGTGCTCATCAAGCCGCCAAACAGCCGCTTCCCCCGCTTCTTCTCTTCTTGCATCACCAATTTGCGTCGGTCTTGGGTTGCTGCGGCTGATGCGACTTCCCCATTGTCGTCGCCATGGCTAGGTGATGGTGGCCGTTTCGAAGCTGTAGCATGGTCCTGATCGTCGTCATCGTGCTTCGCGCGCTTGGGGGAATCATCCTCGGGTCTCTCGTCTTCAGCTTTTCTCTTGAGGGATACGTCTTCGGTGCTCTCTGGCGCTGAGCGGTCCTCATCAGCTGGTCGTGGTAATCCTGCCGCCGCCGCACTATAAGAAGATCCCATCGGTCAGGTTTCGAGCTTGCGATACAGAGTCAATGCGCATACTTACCTCTCCGCCTCCCCAATTGTAGCCATTTTCGTCCCAATGCAATTCACCGCATCAATAGGAGCTTGCTACAGCAACATGATATTGACACAGGGCTTGAAGCTGGAACTGGCGCAGAATGATTGGCTGAAGCTAGGCTGTCGAAAGGTCGAGGCTGAGTAAGAAGTCACGGAAAGCAATTCGCCCCCACCGTGAAGCGCTCTAGCACATGATTGGCCCAGCTCTTTCTGCCACTCATTGATTCCATCCAACGTCACTGCAAGGCTGATGAGAAATCCACGCGACTTTGCCCTTGCAGCTCTAGCCTCTGAGACCTTGGATCTGCAGCATATTAAGACTGTCTTTGCCTTCCTTCGTTTTTCCTCCATTACCACCTCATCTTCCACCAAACAACAGCCAGGGCGTCACAAAACTCCCAATCGCCCACCATGTCTCGCCATCACCCGTAAGTTGCTTCTCGCGTCGCCCTGCCTCAGACACCAGAAAAACAAAGACATCTAGCTAACTAATACTCTCTCCAGCGATCTCGTCATGTGCCGCAAGCAGTCCGGCATCGCCATCGGCCGCCTCTGCGATAAATGCGACGGCAAATGCCCCGTCTGCGATTCCTACGTCCGCCCCACGACTCTTGTCCGCATCTGCGACGAGTGCAGCTTCGGCAACTACCAGAACAAGTGCGTCGTCTGCGGCGGTGAGGGCATCTCCGATGCCTTTTATTGCTACGAGTGCACGCGCCTAGAGAAGGATCGCGACGGGTGCCCGAAGATTATAAACCTGGGCAGTTCAAGAACAGACGTATGTTTCTCCATCTCTCTATCATTGCTCTCCCAAAGCAGTTTATGCATATACTGACCTTTCTTCCTGAAATACAGTTATTCTACCAAAAGAAAACGAATCGGCAGGCAAATTACTAGCCAAGCAGTGGCCCGGGTTTGGGCAGGACAGTTGCGGTGGACTAAAACAAACAATTATATATATCAAATGGGAATTAATCATACATATGGACTGGAGTTTAGCGGCGCTTTCGTTACAGGGCATAATTGACACTTTGTCTGCAATTTCAAAGTTTTTCGTCTGGGCAAATATATGTGGCAACGGCCTTGAGCAGCACGACTCAAGTCTACACACATTTCTATAGATTGAAAGCTAGAAATAAAGGCATATTCTTCATAATTATCGTGTCCGCCAGGACATAGGTGGTACACGGTACAGCTAATACCAGCTATCCAAGACTAAAACTCCGTCTCATGCAGAGAAGATACAAAAAAAATAATACAAAGGAAAGATTATATATATAAGTTTGGTGTACAATCCAGTTCCAGCGTCCATGCTCTTTTAAATGTAGCTCACCTTAGTTCCCATTCCCACCGTCGCTGCAACTTTCGCCCATGCCGTCCTCACGATCTGCTCTATTCGCTGCCGCGTAGCTTTGTGGCCGAGCATGATGAGTAGGCCCATGGTGAAGGCCATCACCCTCATCAGTATCGCAGGATTGCCTGTGACGGAGCTCGCAAGACTCTCAAAGAGCTGTCGAAAGCGGGATAAGATCAAGGTAGCTCGTGCTGTGATGGTTAGGGGCCCTGCCGCCGCTGATGATGCGCCAGCTTTTGATCGTGATTTCCCAGTCGGACGTGGAGGGCGCGCGACGCCGGTTTGGGGCGATCCAGGGGGTTCAGCTCTTCCTACACCGCTAAAGCTGGGAGTCTGCTCGATGCCATAGTCGCCTTCGCTTGTCTCGCGGCTTATACGTTCTTCTTCAAGCCGTTTCCGTTCCTTCTCTTCATTCTCGGCCTTTAGCCGCTTTGCCTCGGCAATATCTTTCTGTAGTTGCTCCTCTTGCCGCTTTAGCTCTTCCCGGTCTTTTCGCTCCTGTTCCTCCTGTTCCTCTTGTAGACTCTGCAGGGCTTGCTGGAAAGCTTCTCTGCGCTCCTCATCGAGGACAGCGCTCACGTCAATGAATTCGCGAGCATAGTCCCACTCGCCATTTTGGGGGAGGACGTGGAGAGTATAGAGTTCCAGAAGCTTGACTCGTGAATTTAAGTCTCCTGGAGTATTTGCGCCGTTGGCTCTCCTGGCAGGGGACTGGTAACGGTTCGATGGCTTTGCAAAGTCATTCAGGTCAAGATTGGGAATGTTCGACGAGGCTAGGTAGTTTTCCAGCATCTTTTGATTGAGAGACTGGTCGCGCGCATGCGCAAGTGATAGCGTCGCCCTGTCACCGCCATGGTTAGTGGTCTCTCTTGAGATATACGTAGTCAGCTACAATGGTAGATTCTAACTCACAAGTTGATCACGACGTCGGCATCAACATCTCCCTCCAGTCCGTGGTATCCATTCCGGACTACTTCCTCCCAGATAGAGCCGTCTCGCACTTTGGAGCACAGCGCTCTCCACTCCTGGTTGCCAAAGGCGTCCTTGCCTTCCTCGGGCTCCAGCTCGACAATTGCGTTGAGGAGTGTCAGGTACAGACTCCAGACCTTGATCCTCGTCCCTCGCGAAGACTTGGTTACCGGGGCTGGCTCGCCATCGTCAGCAGAGCTGGGAGGCGTGATGATGGGGCGCAGTGTGCTGAGAGCCTCGGGCAGTCGACGCGTCAGGAACAGCGTTGAAGCTTGTCGGTACGTCTTGGACACGGGCGAATAGCGCTTGGATCCGGACGACGAGAGGGAGGAAATCGAGGAGGCGAGGAGGCCATTTCCAAAAGACTCGCTACTCGACATTGCCGGGTTGAACGAGGCGTTGTAAGAGCCTCCGTACGCCATGGTGGAAAAGCGAGTTGCGAGCACTTGAGCAGCAAACGCGACGAGTGGGAGGAAAAGTGGTGGAGATGTCGGTGTTGGCGACGGCAACTCAGCTCAGCTCAGCTCAGCTCAGGGTGGATGGAGTCGCCAATTGGAGGTAAACAAGGAGCAGCAGCAGCAGCAGGTCAGTTCGCCGGGGTCGATGCAGCCTTATGCCCGTGTGTCGTGCAGGCCTCGCGCGAAGATGAAATCAAGAGGCTGGCTTTATCAATAAAGAGCACCGGGCCAGGGAATTAAGGAGAACGTCGGCCGGTGATGATTCAGCTGCTGGTTTCCGTCGCGACGCTGCAAAGGGCTTGCATGCCAGCCACTTTGCGCTCTGGCTGGCGGTGGACAGACCAGCTTTTTAGGCGCTTTAGCCTCGGCACCGCCAGAAGGAGAGCACCGCCGGCTCCACCGCAGCAGCGCAGGTCAGCCGAGGCCGGCTGGCGGTGACAGCTGCTATCCGCTACCCAGCCACCCACCGTATTTTATGCGACGCAGCAGGTACCGCACTAACCTCCGCTACCCGATCTACATCGCAGGCCAACATCTGATCTCCTCTAGCAGGGATCCGCCGTCTAATTCCGGAGATGAAGAGCTGTTTCGAGAAACAGGCGATATGCATCGTGCAGCCATTCATTTTAAAGCGCCACCGCGTGACGGCACTGCACGTCTGAATCGGAGTCCGTGGACGGCGTGTGTTGAGAATCGACATGCGGGGAGGAGGCAGCAACACGGCATGTGAATAGCTGCTTTGGATAATACAACCAACTTGATCCTAGGTAGGTAGCTCTTCATCTTAATACGAGCTTGTGCCGCGATTACTATTATGGATATCAATCTTCAATGTTATCTTCATAAACTTCATAGTATCATAAGCCCGCCTCCATATATATCCTCAAAACAAGAACCAAAACAAGACGCCTCTAGTGTACAAACAAAATGTATCATGCTGCTCCTCCAGTAATGCAAAACGACTTTCATGACCTGCGCGTTCTCTGTGATCTCCGCGGTGTCTCTTCAGCAGGCTCTAAAATCCTTGAGGCGATTATGCTATCTTCTCTCTCCAACAGCGTGGTCGATGCCCCCAAAAGCTGGTCTTCCCGAATCCAACCAGACTCCAGTGCAAAACATGCCACATCAGCCGCGCACCCGAAAGCAGGCACGTTCTTGGGGGCGTCTGGGTTCAAATACTTCCACAACTCCGCCGTCTCTTTCTTGAACCTTGCGAGTTCTCTCTTGCTGCCTTCAAAATGCTCCACCAAGTACTCGTACGTGTAAGCCAGCCAGAGCACATTCGTGTAAGGCACATATGCATCCCAAGAAAGCGGCCCGTCAATACCTGTGGCATAAGGGATACTGTGGGCTTCTGGAGGCATCCAGTTTCGGTCAGCACGGAGCAAGAAGGACCGCATTTGCCTATAGACTTTGCACTGCGGATTGTAAGTGCTAGTGAATAGGGTGAGATCCCTTTCTAGGTCGTAGACGATGGGCGCGGCATCATCGTTTGTCAGGTCTTCAGCTCGTGAGAGCCCGTAATCTAAGATTGTGATATCTAAGCCCGAATAGCCAAAGAAGCCATCTTCTTTGGGGTCCCTCTGCCGAGGGGGGCGGGCTTGTTTGACGCAGAGATTACCCTCGTGCAAATCACGATGCTATCAACAGTCAGCATGAGACGGCAATGAATAATGAATCAAGACCTTACCTCAAACATGGCGACCTCCTCAGCTCTTGCAAGTGCGATTGTCTCCAAAAGGAAAATATCCCACAACTGATCCACGCTGTCCAGCTCCCAGTTCTCCAGCGATTTCCCTGCATCCCCTAGTTCTACAACTAAAAAGGTGGTGTCATCCAGATACCGGCTCGGCGAAGGATAATACTGCGCTCTGCCCGGGTCCTCTCTCCTCATCTTCTTCTGCACTGTTTGATGCGTCTCCAGAAGCTCGTTTGTCGTTCTGCCCTTCACAAGGTAGCGTTCTTTGTAAACAGCGAATCCTGGAATGTCGGCCAGCCATTCGGATATTTGTAACTCGTTTTTGACGTCAATCTCTGAATGGGGCTCTTCATCAACGAGGCCAGATGCTACCTGCGCCTTTGTGAGGGCTTTGATAGGCGAGGCCAGTCGTATGGCCTTGATGATGCTCGTGCCTCGTTTATTGGTGATTCGGTAAACCTCTGCGGAGGAGGCTTCGGCAATCTTCTTAATCTGATCTCCAGGAGGACAGACATCGCCCCAAGTGAGAACTCTCAAGGCTTGCTCTTGCGCTATTGAAGGAACAGGCCTTTTTGCCCTGGTTTGCGGCACAGCATCGCGTGTCCGTACGCTTCGACGTTCTTGTTTCAGAGGTTTAAGAGTGTCATCTTCTGAGACTTGAATCGTCCTTTCTGAAATATCTTCTTCAATAACAACCGACTTGGCCCCTCTAGCAGACTTTCTCTTAGGCCTTTCCCTATCCCGTAATTTGAGTTCGTCCACCACAATCGACACATCTTCTTCCGCTACTTTTGTCCGACTCCTCGGCTTCTTAGGGCTCTCTAAGATCGAAATCTCAGCAAAGCTTGTGGTGAGCGGGTCGACTTGTTCGTCAATTGGCCTTGTATTCTGTTTTTCATCCTGTCTGTTGGATGGCTCTCGGACCGGGGCCTGGACCAGCTCTGCAAACATCCTTTCCGCGGTGGATTTCTTGGACTGTTTTCCATATTGACGGGCTACTGTTGTGCGACGCATTTTGCTCATCGATTTTCTTGTATACTGTTGCTCTTACATGAATAAAGGCGAATGCTTCAAGTCATCGATTTCAGCGTTGACGTTGGGCTTGAAGATTACAGTCCAGTTGGCTAGGCAACAACAGCCAAGGGTCTTGTGTTAGTCAGCCGGAACCATCCGCAGGATTCAACGTCATATGTGTTCACATGGCAGAAAACCAGAGTGCTGGAACCTGCATTGGTTAATTGGATCTATCCCTTTCATTGCTATATCTGTACAATACCAATTACATATCCCTATCAACTATGCTGGCCGCAATCGTTACTTGGTGTGATCGTACGGCCTACTTTAGCAACGCTATTAGCGGTAGCCAGGCGTTGGGGAAGCTAAGCTCTTGGTGAGTACATGGGGTTAGGCTGGAGGCGTGCAGCAAGGGTTACATCGAGAATAAAAGAGACTTCGAATTCTATCAGATGGCAGCAAATAGTAACAGCCATTGGAGATGGTACAGCAGTTAAATCTACAGCGTTCCTCTTCTAGAATCATAAGCCTGCTGGAAAATTGTAAAGCTGGGCTTCTTGACTTTCAGTTAGTGTGGGCAGAGCCTGGAACGAAGCCCAGAGAAGCAAAAGGCCGCGGGGCCCCACTCAGCCTTCGAGAACCTCCGCAAAAGATTCCACGCTGGCTGAATCGCCAACTCCAACCCCGACTCTCTCTCCTCTCCCCTCAACCTCCAGCCATTGAGCCCCAACCAGCCATGGCCGACGCTCTCAAGAACATGTTTGGAGGCGCAAAGTCGGGGCAGGCCGCTGCAGGCAAGGCAGACTCTGGTAAGCAATTGTCTTTTCCCCCACGTCTCCAGCTCAATTGCTTGCTTCGCGCTTTGTAATTGGAGCTGAAGAGCTGCTACCGTAACGGCGGGAAGATGGCGAAACGAAAAGCAAAGAGACAGCAAACTAACTTCTGATGACTAGACTTTGCCGACTTTGCTGGAGCTCCCGAACCTGTCCCCCAGGCTGCTCCCGACGCTGCGACGCTGACTGGAGCTACCGCGCAGCCCACCGGCGAGGTCGTCTGGACGAAATGGTACAACATCCATGAGCGCCACTCTCTGTCCGAGTTCAAGCCCGAGGGCATCATCCTCGTCATTGCCTCCATCATCTTCCTGTTCCACATCTTTGGCACGCGCGCAAACCGCTCCAAGGCCAGGGCTTGGGTCAAGGCTCACGCCCCCACCATGAAGAGCGAGTTCGCGTCCGTCGGCTTCCGTGGAGTTCCCACGCTGGACTCTGACTTTGACGCAAAGTCCTTCATCAAGGAGAAGTCGCTCTTCGAGTTCGCCTCGTACGCTACCGGCCGCCAGAATGTTGCCTTTATGGACGTCAAGATCACTCTTGCCAAGCGATTCAACCCTTTCTTGAACTACATTGAGCTGGGTCTGTCCCTGGTGACCGATACTTTTGCTGGCCCCGAGGACTTCGTCGAGGCAACCATTTATCCTTTTGATGGCAAAGAAGAGCTCACTCTTCCTCCTGCTGCCGGTGGTGTGGAGGCTCGTCCCAAGGACAGCAAGAGCACCTTTGACGGCTTTGTCTGGGCTGTTGTCAACAAGTCCAGCATGCAGAAGCTGCGTGATGACCGATACGACGTCTCCCTGACGGCCACCAAGGATCACCCCAAGCTGCCCGAGTGGCTGACCGTCATGAGCGAGAATGCCGAGATTACCGAGACTTTCCTTACTCCTGGTCTGATTGAGGCCGTTTCGAAAGCTGGTGACCTGTTCGACTACCTCATCATCTCTGACCAGCCCGCGGACAAGCCCACCCGTCTCGAAGAAACCACCCCTCGCAAGCGAGTGTTCCTCAAGTACCGACTCCCGTCCAACAACAACTATGATCAATTCATCCCTCTGTTTGAGCAGTTCACTCGCATTCCCGATGCTCTTGTCAGGGACGCCCATTTCCGCCCCGAGGTCCTCAAGCGTGTCCGTGCCACTCGTGAATCCATGATTGCCCAGCTCAAGAAGGCAATCGAGGAGGAGAAGAACGAGGAGCGCGCACTCGAGAAGGAACGGGCCAAGAAGGCCAAGCGAGATGCTGATCTTCAGGGCCTAGACGCTAAGCAGCAAAAGAGGTATCTTGAGAAGGAGAAGGAGAAGGAGCTGCGCAAGTCACAGAAGAGGATGACTACGCGAGGCTAAATGTTGTGGACTTGGTGCATGTGTAGCATGACGGACACGATGGTGGGGTTGGGATGACAACGAGAAGGCTAGGAAAATGCGGAGGTTATAATATGTACAAGTAGCCTATACTATGTAATACTGGGGGTCTTTTTCTCTTTATTTCTTGTTTATCCGCGGGATTTGAGATTTGAACACCGGGACACTACTTGAGTTGCAGTAATGCAATTTTCTGTTGGACATAGGAGAGCAAAAAAAGGAAAAGTACTTAATAATTCAATCAATATGACGTAATCCACATGTTGCTCTTCTGCTGGTAACTCAGAGGCGTCTACAACCTCAACGTGTGCTGTCATCATTATTTGGTGTCTGCGTCCAGCAAATCCTCGACTCTCTTGACTTTATCCTCTGCAGTCTGCTTCTTATCCGTCCTATTATGCCATGTTAGCAGATACCTACAATACTCATCCCCTCTCTTTCCTCTTGTTTCATGGCCATGACAGAATAAAATACCTCGATCCAACTCTCATTGAGGACTGAACCCTCACAACGCCCTTTTCATGAACTGCCGAGTGGGCCTTGCCGATCACCGTCATGACCTCCTCCCAGTTACCCTCTAAAGACAATATGGCATCAGTTTTGATTGATAAAAAAAAAAAAAAGACTAGATTGGAAGACTGAAACTCACCAACAGTTGTTCCAGCAGAGTGCATCGTGTATTTCAGACCACTTGCTTTGAGTACCCGCTGAACCTGGGCGATTTCCTCTGCCACGGAGACGGTGTTTGTGCCAATCTAGCCGCGATAATACAGCCTTGTTAATGAGACGCGAAAAAAAAAAGAAATCGGAAAACAATTTGAAGCTCACGGGGATCAAACAAAAGTCGGCATAGCACGAAGCTGGTGTCGGAATGGAGGCGTAATCCATAGCTATAGCGGTAGCTCCAAAGCCTCGGCGAGATGATATCTGCGGATGTAGAATGTGCCTCGAGGCGCCGTAAGTTCTGGGAGCAAGGCGGAACATTCAATGAGCTCAGACGCTGTGTGTTAGTGCTTTGAGCGATGTGACGATGAGAAGAGGAAAAGGGAAGTATGAGAACTGGAAATCGTATGTTGATAGGTCAATGTTTTTTAAGTAGAGGGGTTTTCCATTACTTGGGCGCTTTTTGCTTTTTTTAGCGGGCTTATGAGATGCCGAGTTTATGCGTGCCTTGATTATGCCTTTACGACTTTTTGTTTGATGGCATGTCTAAACAACTCATATCAACAGATGAAATGCAAATTCCACACATAAAATTTCTTAAATTGAAAACTTCTTCTTTGCAACATGTAGCAGTTGAAAATCAAGCCATGGAGAAGAAACGCGCAGAAGCCCATATCACAATAAGAAGACTGTCTTTCATTGAAAAAACAAGAATAAAGAATGTTTATTTGATCAGACCATATTTGCCAATGGCTACGCAAAAGATCTAATGATAAATGATTGAATAGTATATCAAAAAAAAAAAGGACCCCCAGAAAGTCAAAGTTCATTTCCTCCTGTATTTTTTCTTCTTTCTTTCTTAAAACCCCCATATGTCGCAATCTAGGTTGCCTTGAAAACGCCTCGCTAAAATGCCAGAATATGTATGCTTTGTGAGAAAAAGATATATATGTGACTTGTCTTTTAGATCATCAACAGTGTCGCCGCAAAGAACGCAACCAAAGCTCCCATTCCGAGCTCCCGCGTCGAACTCACGCCGTCTGCGGAAGACGAGCCGTTCGAGTTGCTGGCAACACTGGACCGGCCAGTGGCATCGTTGATTCCGTTGCTGTTGTCTGCGGCGTTGACGGTTGTTCCCTGGTCCCAGAAGTCGACAAGGACGAAGCTGGGGCGGTGGCTCCACTGCTGGTTGCATTGCTGGATGTGCAGGCCTAGATTTCCGGTCGCGTTGGTGGCGGCGCTGTTGACGACGCTGATGGTGTTCGTGTCGGGGATAAAGACGTCTCCAACGATTAACTGGTCTTTGAAGTGGTTGATGAGACCCATGAATCCCTTTGAGAAGGCGTTGGAAGCTGAGCCGGCGTTGGAGGGCCGATCGACGGTGCAGTTGAAACCGTCAAGCTCGAGGACGGTAAAGGGCGTCTCGAAGATGTAGTCGAACTCGGGCAAGAGGTGCGGGCTGGTAGTAGACGCATCGATGTTGGTGATGAAAGACACAACTCGAGTGTCATTGGCAATCATTTGACTCAGGCTAGGCCACTCAGTCTTGGACGTGGGGGTGAAGCCAAACTTGTCAATGCCCGATTGCTCGAAAGCATCTGCAAACTTGGACACATCCACGTTATCGGAGTTGACCAGCAGAAGGGTAATGACATCCGAGGGGTGGCCAACCACCCAGTCGTTGACGGCCGCGAGCCAATTCTCCAGAGGACCGGCATCCAAAAGACCGCATGAGGTGTGGCATAGGCGAAGAGTGTTGTTCTCATTGTGAACCTGGGCCTGGAGGAATCGAAGTCCGGCATCAAGGGCAAATGTGGCGTTCTTGAACTGATTGCCGGCGACAGAGTTACCCGTGGTGGCGTCTCTCAGAAAGGCGCTATCATGAGCACCCATGTAAGTGATGTCGTTGTAATGGCGATCACATAGCACCGGTGAGTTGTTGCAGACTTGTGATGATGAAGAGGAAGCAGCCGTTGATGTTGATGACGGTGATAGTGCCGATGAGACGTCAGACGCTTCAGGCCGGGGGAAGACTGCCTGGACTCCGGCAGTGCCAATCAAGGCACTGACCAGGAGGCGAGCCACTGAGAAGCGCATATTCACTTTTCTCTATACCCTCAGTTTTCGAATATCTTTTGCGTCTGCCTATAGTTTGACCCTGGTTAGTTCTCAAAAACTGCGGGATGGATCATCTTAAGGGATTATCCCATGTACATACGCTAAATCCTTGAGCCAAGCTTTCCGATATGCTTTAATGAGATATGGAGTATACGAAGAAAAAAAGGGGAGTAGAATAAGATGAACAGAATAGGTATGTGGATATAATGTATCCTCTTTGTGGAGGAAAGGTAGGTATGTATAGTGTAGATATACACCCAGATAGTATATAGATGGTTCCAATAGCGAGCGAGAGTGAGAGACAGGAAAAGAACAAGAAAGGGGATATAGGAAAAAGTATAAATCGCGAAACACTAGCGACTCATTTGAAAAGAGAAATAAAAAGTCCGGTCACCAGATCTATGCCAAGAAGAAAACCCCGCGTCGAAGAAGAGAGGAAAAATGAAGAAAATGAAAATGAAAATGAAGAAAGGAAAGAAATGGCCAGAGAGGGAAAAGAGTACCTAGTTAGTCTCTCGCCCAGCCTCGAGATCTGGCGGCTCGGAGAGAATACTGTAGGTCCCTGCTAATGAGCCCCCTAATGGAGCCCAAGCCCTTCTAGCGAGGTAAATCACTTTGCCGTGATCCCTGCTCAGCCATTTTGGCAGTGCTTAGACTGCGCCTCTGAGACGTCAGCAGTGGGGCCGCGCTGAAACAGCAGAGACTGAAGCTGATCCAGCGGAAGAGGGGCCCTAGAAGGAAATGCAGATCCAAAAGCTGAGGCTCTACTTGTAGCTAAGTAGTGGTGCTATCAGGGGAGCAAACGTGCTGGGATCGGTGGAGATGCACACACACAGCTGGGAGTAAGAGCACTAAACTTGTAAATGGTCATTCTGTGTATCATATGACCATACGCTGTGTATTACTTACAGAGAACAAGGTATCACAATACAGAAGCAGCAGAGACAGCTCTAAGTAGAGATGACAGAGACCTGAAAACCCATCCACTCAAGAGGGTCATCCAAGTATAACAATAGTGCGCATGATGTTAGAATTGTATGCCAGTAGTTACAAGCGTTATTCCCTATTCTTTTGCTCCCCACCTGGCCACCGTTCCATCCGCTACCGATATCCATGCATTTCATATTAAGGGCACCTCTAGTCTAGTACCCAATAGGCATTACAGAGGCAATACTTCACGAGTGGCCCATACAAACGTAATAGATTGCCTCAATAATTTATCTTGCGCCCGCTTTGGCAAGATTTTTTATTTCCAGCAAAGTATGATTACTGGACAGCATTCCGCTGTTTTCTTTATCGCGATACAGATTCATCCCATGTATTCCGGAATGCATTCCCGCTTGTAGGTACCTACTCGGAACTCGGAACCTAGGTACAGCTCAGTAACAAAGAGGTAAAACGCCCAGCTCCAACATGTTCAATGCAACATCAAACTCCAAAACATGCATGGGGCGCATCAAACAGCTGGCCCAAAAAAAAAAAAAAAAAAAAAAAAAAGGTACATGTGCTGTTAGTGCTAAGCGCTACTTGTGACCTCGAGTAATGAGCATCGCGGCCCGAATACAAAGTACCGGAACTATCTCTACTAGCATGCGGCATACAGCATCTCCTTTTACACATTGCCGCTCTTTTCCGAGAGAGCATCCCTTTCAAATTCAATCTCTCTTCGATTCACCGGATGTTAATTAACAAAAGGATGCTATAAAAGACGAAACGCCATACTGTATGTGATAAGAGGCTGTGTGTGTGCCTGTCATCACCCGGCCACACACACTTCGCCTTGCTATTTTTATCCTCTTATCGCTGATCACTGATCGGGGCTCCATGATTTCAAACCAGTATTGTTGGAGAAAAAGCAGATGGATCTGCACTGCACCGCTCCATTCCATCCCTTGCGTATACACCTATCAGCACGCTTCTCCGTATCTATCGCTCTTTTTTCTCTTACCTTCATCCTCGTCTCCAACATTTTAAGCTTTTTTATCCTTTCTCCAATTCTCTCTTATACGATATCGATATTCTCCCCCATGCTCAGCCACCATGGGGAAATATCTCTCTCGTATTTGATGGCTGACCGATGCGGGGGAGTAGCTTCATAACGACATCCTCTTCCCACGTTTTACTTATACATCTCATGACACCATCGATAATAAGCCCTGCATCTCAGTAGATCAAGCCACTTTCAAAGTGTCACCCAAGGCATACGTAATCCCCCCTCGTAAACCTCTGCATACATATGTAAGTGCTATCTTGCCTTCTTGGCAATCATGCAAAGCCACGTCAAGTAGTAAGCCGCTTCTCACAGCGAGCATATCAAGCTGCTTCGCCGTCTCTATGAGGGACACGCGTTCAGTGGAGATTTTCTCCTCGTATCAAACTCCATAGCCTCAAACTTGTCTATGGCCATTTCAAACGATATCAAGAATTCAGGCCAACGGACTTTTTTCCCTTGCTTGTACATGCTTTGATTATTTATCTTTTACGAAGCTGAATCTCAATGAAACTTTTGTCATAGAAGACCCCCCAAATCGATCGTGTGATCCCACGTAGTCCATTCTGGTATCATCGTCATCTTCCTACCGCTGCTCTCCTTCTCCTCCTCATCATTTCTCCCTCAACTTGAATCCTGCATAGTCAATCGTTACTCAGGGTCACCTACTGACTCCGTCTCCGCCTCCTCTGCCTCTGCCTCTGCTGCTGCTTTTCTCTCAGCTGCCGCCGCTGCTTCCAATTCTCGAAGCTGCTTCTGTCCCTCCTCTGTCGTCGCATCGATCAGTTCTTCTTCAAGACTAAGGATATTGGCCTAGATTGCGACTATTGTCAGTTTGAAGTTCTTCACGACAATGGAATGTGTCTTGTCCGACACCCAAACGTAATTATCTCGACTCACCTCTCCAAAGAGACCCACCAGCTCCTCTGCCTCATCAATCTTCATGTTCCCCAATACCTTGTTGACCTCATCCAAATCGCCTGTTTCCAGGGCCTTCCTCATCTCGGGATCAAAGCTGTCGTAAATCTTTCGGGCAGCCTGAGTATCTGGGTCATCGCTCACGGAGGGAGGGACCTTGATCTGAATGCTGGTGCCAGGCTCCACGGCATGTAGCTGGATCTGCTCGACACCCTCTGCCGGTTCCTTAGCCCGCTCAGCAATGATTTCCAGCGACCTGTTCTTGATTCTCATGTATGTCTCCTGGACGTCCTTGTAAAAGACATCCTGTGCCTGGTGACCCTTTGTAGTGATGCGCTTGAAGAAGAGCGCCACGCCATCTTTGCCCAGCGCACGGCAATATTGCAGTAACAGTGCTTGGTGGACAAGCTGGCGAGCCAAATCATCCTTTCGCTCCAAGGCTGCGTCAAACGCAAGCACAAGCAATCCGTCCGTCTCTCGCTCCGTCAAGATCTCAGGGTTCTGAGCCAGGAACTTTAAGCTGGTTGAATAGTCGCTGGCGTTGATTGCGCCAAATTTCTGGGCCGCTGGCGATGCCTCTATCTCGTCATCGTCATCGACCGCAACCTTGTCTGATGAAGACGCCTGCTCAAATCCAGAAAAGTTGGGATTAAGCAGCTCCACCTTTGTATCCTCCTTCTTATCCGAAGGGCCTGATTTATTCACGTGCGAGCTGTTGAATCCATCCCGAATGTTGTCACTCGTAATCTTCTTCCCTTCTTCCTTCTCGAGCTTCTCCAGCTCGGCCGCTTGTTCTTTCTGTAGCTCCTTAATCTTGTCTACGTGCACCTGCATCTCTTCAAGCATTCCCGTGTACCGATCCTCGACCTTCTTCTCATCAAGAGTCTTGTTCACTTGGTCCAATAGCTGCATCAGCATTTTTGAGTATGTCGGCATGGGCTGGTCATCGCTGAAAACACCCTCTGGTCGCGGGGGCGGCTGGTCGTTCTTGGGATCGCCGGCAGTGCTCAGGACAGCCTTGAAGGCAACCTGGGCCTGGTTGCCGGTAGCGGCTTCAGAGGCATTGGCCTTCAGATTGTCCAAGAGCGACACCACCCGTCCCAGCAAAGCGCTGTTGATCACCCGCTCATACTTGAGGGCTGTGATGCGGTTCTTCCTCTGCTGGCGCTCTGCGTGGATCTGGTTCTGCTTCGCTCGGATGAAAGATCGCTTGTCGACGTTGGGGTGGACTTCGATGTCAGAGTCGTCGCTCACTTCAATCGCATCCTAGTGAATCGAAGCCGCTGGTCAGTAAAAGTGCCGGCCCAACAAAAACATCTTTCAGTGGCTTCATACGAATCTGCTGTAATCAATCGGCATGGTGGGCTGCTCTTGGAGCTGCCGGGAGCTCGTCGTAGGGTTTAGCAAGCAGGATGTACCGCACAAAGGGACAAGAATAGTAGAATTCGGAGCTTCTCTATCAACGGTAGATTTCGTAGGCACTGGCGTATTACTCCAAACGAGCTGGATGAACAGTCTTCCAAGTTTCCATCAGGTCCTGGCATAGAGGAGAGGATGTCAAGGTGGGGCCGTTTTCTTTGTCGATAGAAGCTCACCGAAGCTTTGGCGGGGTCGGATCTCTCTGTCCGCCCAAAACTTATAAAGCGATATGCACCATTACGGCGCGTCATTCCCTAACTGCCCCGTCAGTCTCAAGGGAGCGCATTAAAGCACGGAATAAATCACCATCCATAATCTGACAATTACTCGCTTAAAGAGTTTATCCGTTGATATCAAATATCTTTCCTTTTCTTCAAATAGATATCATGCCGAATACACTCCCCGCTATCCATACCGAAGTCTAAAGAGAAAAACTATTGAGTGTCGAGATACGACGAGTACCAGGGCAAAATAGAAACCCCAGCAGCATGAATTAAGATTTTGTATAAAGCTATTGTTTTAACCTCTTATCCTCTTTTTTGTACCGTTCCCTTCCACGTCTTAAGAGCCAGCTCCTATATATATTCTGCTATTCGTTCACGCCATGGTCTTCATGAAATCGTCCAAGTCGAAACTCTCTTCATACTGCTTGTTATCCCACAACTCTCCTAAATCATCCAGCCACGCCTTTTTGCCCGGCTGCCGTAATACGTCACCAGTTTCGATATCAACCATATCCTCCTCCCTTCCATCGATGCCATTCTGCGGCTTATCGGTTATGAGACTCGGTCCCGTGTCGCCCAGATTAAACAAATCAAGAATCTGATCCGTGTCCATCGTCGCCAGGCCGGCATTCTGCTGGTTGACAACTGTAGATGCCACATCAATCTTGAAACGCTGGAGACTGAGGATCTTCTCCTCCAATGTGCCACGAGTAATGAGACGATAGACGTTGACCACCTTCTTTTGGCCGATTCGGTGAGCGCGGTCCATGGCTTGCAAATCTTTCTGAGGATTCCAGTCGTGCTCCACGAATATGACTGTGTCTGCACCTGTAAGATTCAGCCCGAGACCGCCCACACTAGTGGTCAACAAGAGCACATCGTACGAAGGGTCGCTGTTGAACTTGTTGACAATGTCTTGTCTCTTGTTCGCCTCGACCGATCCATCAAGTCTCAGATAGGATACCGAGGGTAGCATTTCTTTAAGCACCTTGGTCTGGACCATGTCTAACATTTCCTTCATTTGACAGAAAATGAGAGCACGATGAGGTTTGATGGGCTGGTATAGCGGGTCGTTGGCATCATCTCTATCGTCGCCAATGCCACAATCAATCAAGAGATCTTTAAGAGCCGTGAGCTTCGGCGCATGATGAGCATCCTCGATGGATGTTCCCTGCTTCTGAAGAATTTTTTGTGTCTCGGCATAGAGATCGCTTCCTGGTTTCATAACCATGGCAGGAGAGTTGCACAGCTTTCGCATATATTGCAGAGCTTGGAAGATGTGCTGTTTGGCTTCTTTATCCTCTCGGCCAGCCTCCGCTTGGATCTTCTTGCCCTGTTTCTTGGTAAAGTCCTCAAATAACTTCTTTTGTAGATCGCTGAGATCGCAGTAGTAGTTTTGTAGAATCTTGGGGGGTAGGTCGTTCAACACTTCTTCCTTGAGGCGACGGAGCAAGAAGGGAAGCACTTGTTTGTGCAGAGCCTCAATAGCCAATGCGCCAGCTTCTTGCTCCTTGGAAGACGCTTTGCTGTATCGACTTGCCGCAATAGGCTTCGCGAATCGATCCAAAAACACTTTTTCGGCTCCGAGGAATCCCGGCATAAGAAAATCAAACAAAGACCAGAGTTCCAAGACGTTATTTTGAATCGGTGTGCCCGTAAGGATAAGTCGGTGGTTACTAGCCAGCCTCTTCACGGCCTGAGTGATTTTGGCTTTAGGGTTCTTGATTAAGTGACCCTCATCCAGGACAACATAATTCCAGCTGTGTTTCTCCAGAATTTCAGAGTCATTTCTAGTAACATCGTATGATGTGATAACGATATCAGTGTCGCCAAGTCTATCTTTCATGGCTTTGCGCTCTATCGGAGGCCCAACATACGCAGTAACGCTGAGGAAGGGAGCATACGTCTTGATCTCCTGTTGCCAGTGGCCGGATAGTGTAGGAGGGCATACAATCAGAGACGGCAGCCGCCTTACATCAGGGGCTTGCGTTTTTGCAAACTCTTCTTGACGCTGATGATGATCACTGGCCACGATACAAATGGTCTGTAGAGTCTTTCCGAGGCCCATATCATCGCAAAGAATGCCATGGAGGTGATATTTGTTGAGAAAGTTGAGCCAGTTAACACCATCTTGTTGGTATGAGCGAAGTTCTGCCTTGATGGCCACAGGGATCTGGAACGGTTCGACTTTCTTGGGGTCAAGAAGCTGGGCAATAAATGTTCGCTCTCGGTCTCGACCTTTTAGGAGCTCTTCGGACAGGCCAGGCGGATCGGGAATTCCTGCCTCGAGGGGCACTAGTTTGACTAGTGTGGCGAAAGACGTGGTAGCAATGAGGCGAATTTCGTTGTCGGAATCACTCATTCGGCCAAGAACGGGTACAATCAAGAATATGACATAAGGGAGTATCGCGTCGCCCATGACGGCAATCAGATGGTAGATGGCTTCAATTACGCCTTGACGGAAATTGAGGTCAAGAGGGTTGCTGATTGACGGCAGGACCTTTTCCACCAACGCTGTCATTCCGTCAACAGTAATAACACTACATATCGTAGCCAGACATTTGGCGGCCATGTAGCGGAAAACCGACAGATCAGAATGCAAGGCTTTAATAACAAGCGGCATCATCTCCATAACGAATGGGTGAAGGCTCTTGTCCAGTGTGGGCGTCATGGTCCGAATGACTGACATTGCATCGACAATCTCCTGACCGAATGCCAGCTCAGGATCCCGAGCTTCCGGAGGCAAGTCTGCTGTGAAGGCCTTGACTAGTGCATCTTTCATAAAGCCCTTCAGACTTGGTACAGAGTCGAACAAGGTTGCGCCGTACGTCTTTGACAGTATCTCCAAGGCTTCCTTTGCACCTCTGCGCGTGATCCTCGCAGCCTTGGCTTCCCTCGCCCACTTGGCGGCATCTGGATGATCAACGCGGTCCTCTTCCTTCTGCATGGAGAGAATACAGCTAGTTTTAGCGGCATGAACGGGGAACTCTGGGGTTTCAGCGACTTCCACGCAAGAAAATTTGACCAAATTGGCGACAACCTTGTCCGCGGGACCACGCCTTCCCTTTTCTGCGAAGAGTTGAACAAGTTTTGCGATGGCTTCCGATGAGCGGCTCTGGAGCTGGTGATTCTCTTCGGTCTTGATGGAATCCATGATTCCTTTGATGAGGGGGCTGGGCTTCTTCGGCAACAGCTTCATGGCGACCATGGCGCAAGCTGCGCCAGCCTTGATTCTAATGTCGCGAGCCCCCTTGAACGCCTTGGCTTCTTCTATAGCTGATACTGTGTTGTCGCGAGCGTCAGCTAGCTGCTGACCAGCAATCAGCCGTTGGCCAGGAGGCATAAGCTTCTTGAGCCTCTCGAAATCTTCGCCCACGCATTTTTCCGCGGTCGTAATGGAAAAGGCGCTAGGACCAGCTTCAGCTTCGCCTTGAACCACGACAGGGAGAGTAGGCAGCTTGCTATGAGAGACTTTTCCATGGTCACGGAATAGATGAAGCAGTTGCTGGCAAAGGGTCCTTGCTCTCTGCACAAAGGTCACCAAATCTCTGTAGGCCGAAGGGCGATCTGATTCCATGATCCGCTGCAAATGATCCAAGTAGCGGCCAGGATCTTCGGCTGTTTGGCAATTTCTCGCAAATTCGTCAATGACAAGACAGGCAGTCAGCTGTGTGGAGGAGAAGGCGGAAGTAAGGCCTGGTATAAGCAGGGCATCGTAATCATCAAGGTTCCCTGAAGGGACCAGGGACATGACGAGGCCCATCGCCTGAGCAGCCGAGACTCTTGATCGAATCAGCACATCTAGACCAACGAGATCAATGTCGCCTTGCATCATATGGCCGTCTACATCATGTGTAAGGCCGGCAGGGGTGGGCTCTTCGACCCTGGTGGATTTACGGCGACGTTTTACTGGTCGATCAAGGCCATCAGGCGAGGAAAGCCGCCTCCCACTAGGTTGCATCGGGCCTGACGCAGAATAGGTACCACCAGAGGGCTTCTGGAATAGACCGGCATGCATAGGAATCGGATGCCGTGATACGCCAATGGGATGCAGCGTCAACTGCATCAAGTTGTCAATGTGAGGAGCAAATTCGTCGGCAAGGATGGCAGGATTCTTTGCTAATGTGCGGACGAGAGCACCCCAGAGCTGTAGGGACATGTCAAGGGTTTCCTTGTCTCTCTCAACAAGGATATTCTGGAAGATGAGACGGAGAATTCTCCCGTTGAGCCAGCCCTGTGATGTATCATCGCCAAGGTTCGCAAAAGTTAGAAGAGCTTTCAGTACAGCAAGCCGAACAGAGGTGATTGTGTGACGCAAAAATGGATAGAGGCGCGGAACCAGTAACGTAAAAGACCGCTCTTCATCTTGAGCAGCAGAAGACTTCATCGATTCGAGAACTTGAGGGAAGCCGCAAAGAGTAGCAAGAAGATCCATAATCCGGCCCGTGCTGGCGCTCAAATCGTCGCCCAAGTTAGACAGGCTCTCCCACACAATATTAGTCAGACCATCGAGAGCTGCTGGCCGCATCGTGACAAACTCTTGAGCCATAGGTATCAGAGTGGCGGCACTGACTGAGCGAACATCGTCATCATTATCGCCTAGGCCCTTCATGACGGCCCTGATAACACCGTCAATCATATCCCCGTCTTGAAGGAGCAGGTCTTTCCTGACAGCAACAACATATCTAAGGCCAATCATGCCGCCATGGCAAACAGCCCAGATGGGAGAGTCCAGTTTAAGATCTTCATGCATTACCATTCGGTAGAGAATACGGTAGATGTCGTAAACCGATTCGGAAGGCACATGTTTGAGCACAGCACCAAGGGTCTGTCCAATTGTTTCCCTGATGGGGGCAACTGATGTGTCAGAACTGTAGTCGGTAAACCGGTCCAGCATCAAAACGCAGCAAAGCCTGCAGGCAACATCATTAAGCCATCCACGATTCAGGTCGTTATTGTCTTCGGCTGACTTTCCCCGAACCCTGCCAGCCCCGCCACCGTGGACTCGAAGAACCTCGCGCAGTGCCATGGCAGCTCCGTGTCGCGTTTCCCATGAGGAATCGAAAAGGTCGATCTTGAGAAATTCGCAGAGCCGCTCATACGGCCACTCAGCGCCCTCCATGGACTCCTCGGCCTCGAGTTCAGATTTGATTTGCATCACGGATCCTTTGAATTCGCTAACAACTTTGGCCTCTTCGTCGAGATCGGCTGGGCGTTCGAGATTGAAGTAATCGTTCATCTTCCCATTCTTCTTTGATTCGTGTTCTCCCGTCGGGGTGTCGTCTCCAAATCCTTCAGATCCAGCAGTTGTCGTGCGTCGCAGAGAGAGATCTCCGAAGCCGCCTTTGCCTTGTGCTTTCATTGCCTCCTTCTTCCGTTTCCGCTTCAGCACGTTCAGTTGCCTTGAACTAAGCTGGGACTCTTCTGCGGCCTGACTCTGGGATTGCGTTCCCTCGCCTTTAGTCAGGCTATTGCCATTGGAGGTATCAAGGGGTGTTTTGGGCACCCCGTCCCCTACAATAATGTCTTCATCTTCGAACTTTCTCCCCAGCAAACCAAGTCGACCCAAGAGTGTCTTCTTCTGGTACTCTAAACGGGCCTGGGGATCAAGGGAAGCAAGATTATACTCTATGCCACCGCCACGTAGAAGCGGCCGGCCGAATTTCAAAATTGTGTCCACATCAAGCGTCTCAAGCCTAAAGACTTCATCGTCGGAAAGAACCGATAAAGCTTTGTTATCTTCCTCCTTCTTGATTGCACCATTTTCAGATGAGCTCTCTTCCTTTTTGGGTTCACTTGCAACGTCTCCTGAGTTGGGATCATAGAGCGGGGCATTCTCTATAATCTTACCGATAGCCTTGGCCGCTGTCGTCCTCGTCTCCCAGTCTTTGTAGCGAAGATACGGAATTACCCGCGACAAGAGATTAAAAAGCTCATCGGGGTGTTGCTTTTGCCAGTCAGCGAGCTGGTTGACTGCAGTGTCCCGAATGAGCCGGGTGCTCCCTGTCTCGAGGATACTGAAGAATTTAGTCAGCTATGGGGATTCTGGTTTTGAGGTAAAGAACCATTGATAGACAATATGAGCAGGTTATTGGGAAGAATAGAGAAACTCACGTAACTAATCGATCAAGTCTGCCGAGAAATGTTAGCCACAAGCTCTGCCGCCGAAGAAGGAAGATTGTATGAGAAGCTTACCTAGAAGTCATTGTGTCGTCGTATTAGAGTGGTATGTAAATGGTGTTTTGGGGCTCATGGCATAATGAAATAGAAGCTCTGTGCATCCGGTTAGTTGGCATCGCCTATGATAGTTGGCGTGCAAATCCGAAGATGAGAAGTAGAAGCAGCAGCAGAGGCAAAAGCAACTGAAATCTATTAAAGCTGAAATAGATGTGGCAGTATTTCTGATCACAAGTTTGTGTGGTCTGCCCATTCGCATTCCAGCGCATCAGGTGCATGTGCGAAAAACGCAGCTACATGCTTTGTATCGAAAGCTCTTGAGCTAGGCGCAACGAAGTTCAAAATAGCAGCAGTTGCAGGGCAGTGATGCGGCGCCAAGTCCAGCAGAGGCGTGCACAACGCACACGCAACGTGCCACAGGGCTTCAAAACCCACCCATGGCTGGTATTACTTGAGGGAGCAGTGGTGCAAACAATGAAATAACAGTGAGATGCAGCGAATTGGGGATACCAGAAGCAAGTACATGAACTGCAGCAGCGATGTCGATGGTGAAGGTGACAATCGCAGATAAGATAAGGTGTGCATTGATAGCATGTAAATCAGCGGCTAGGGTGGCAGGGATGGGGGATGGGGCGACGAAATGGGGAGCATGGCAGGACGGAATGGCGTAATGAAACACGGCGCGGCAGAGAGTGGAAGAACTTGCCTGTATCAACAATCAACAGTGCCGGTGCGCTGGGCTGGGATCAGGCCCTACCGATGCAGTGTGATGCACCGAGAGGGCGGGAGCGCGGCCAAGGAAAAAGCTGCGGCTGAGCAAAGAGGCAGAATCAGATGCGACCGGATGCGTTGCGATGCGTTGCGATGCGATCGGTGGTTTATATCGGTCAGCGCTGGCGTGGGCAGGTACCCGTCACCGTGGCAAGTACCTGGCAAGGCAGCTGGGGCCGGGGGCTGGTTCGCGCAGCTTCAATGGCGCATGCGCTATTGGGCAGGAGTGCTGGAGGCGGCTGGAGGGGCCAGAAGCAAAAACAAGAGAGGGCCGTCCAATGATCGCGTGCGAAATGCTGGATGCGCGCAAGCGTGGAGAGCTGCTGCTACCTTGTGTGCGTGCTGTGCCGGTAGAGAGCCTGAAGGAAGCAATTGAGCTAGACCGGGCTGGTTCTGTGAAAATAAATGCCTGACGGCTGTAAGTCAGTACGTACGTCCGTGCTCGAATTGCACCAAATTGATTGAAGAAAAAAATAAGCATCAATAGCGTTGTCTCTACCGTCCTGCATTGGACTCTCAGCTGGGACACGTACGAGTAAGGTAGCGATGCACGCAGCGCAGCAGTGGCGCGGCGAGTCGAGCAAGTGGGCGGCGGTGCGTGGCGCTGTTTTGCCTCTGTGCTGCTGCGCTCTGGGCTTGCGACACTGGCCGATGCGACTATGGCAGAAGGTCGGGCAGGGCTGGGACGGGGAGAATTGAGTGGAGGGCAGGCCGGGCTTTCTATATGTCTATGCCTGTATTTTTATACACGCTGCCATCCCAACAGCCAACGGCCTCGCTTAATGTCCCTAATGCTTCTCTAGCGCCAGAAAAGCGGGGCGTCTGTCTCTCATCGTTGATTCTAGGACTCAAATGGCGTAGTACCTGCACAAAGCAGCGCCAGTGCGCCGGCTCCCATGTGCCCTACTGATACGGATTATTTGGCCCCGGTCAGAGCTATCGAGTGCCTAATCCCAGGCGGTGCTATTCCACTGATGCTTTGCTTTTCAGTAGCAGTCAATTTACTCATTTTTTTTTTCACCCATTAATTACTTTTTCTTGTACGATGAGTATGAAGGCAATATCCTACTCCCTGGATCGATTTTGCTTTGGCTCGTGATTCTCTTCCTGCTGCTGAGCGGAAGATAGGAAGCAATTACCCGGGCGAGTACGGAGCAAGGCTGGCCCGGTCATTGCATTTACTGCCATGCCATTCTCAAAGTACAAAGCAGACCATGCTGCTTCGTGGAGGGATTGATCTCTTTCTGCAGCGTGCATTTAGGCGAGCGCATCGACACGGGTACATCTGACACGTCAGTAATCTCCGCTGCCGTTCTTAGATGCTTGCTGATGTGCTGGTCGATCGAGATAGGCTCAGTTCCGGCTCCGAGTGATGTATCGTGTAGGTCTTGTCTTCGAGATATAGAATCGCAGCGACAGCAGAGATGGAATAGGCACAGGAGGATCTGGGGGAATCGTGCTCGGGGAGGGGAAGACCAGGCATGCCAGAATATGTTTTCCTCCCCGGCAAATATCGGATGCTAGTCCTCCGCAGCCTTGTCCATCCAACTTTGGCCATGCTGTCTGACGCGTTCGTCGATTTGTGTCGCCTTCTCTATGCTGGCCATACAGAAAGTACGCGATAGGCAATACGCTTTATAAGGCGAAGATTCGTCCGTTTGCGTAGGGCTGGTAGCTCCATGCAGCTTTTGCCCCAGCATGCAGCTCTCGACAATGGCAATTTTAGAGCATGTCACTGACCTTGTGAAAATCGCCTCTTCATCTCATCAAACTGGGGAACACAGGCCTAGAACCAGCGGGTGTTCGTCCCCTGATCGCCCTGGGAAAAAGAAGCGCAGCTTCGCTTTCTTAGCGGCTTCTTTTCTGCATGGAGCTTTGTCCCAACTGCGTATACGATTGTCGAAAAGCGCAGCCCCTTACATGCCATGTCGCAAAATTTTTCTCCGCCTGGCTTCTTGAGACATGAGCGCCATGGTTGGTTGGTGCAGGCCAGATCTGACTTGTCTAGATCGACCCGTTTGGCCGTAATCTAAAATTGCCGTGAGACGCTATTGTCCCTGCTGCTCAGCAGTGGTTGGCTGGACACACGCCATCGATCCGCAGCTTGTTAGGCCAGGCTTCTGCATTATCCACCTGCCTATGACGATCAGTATGCACAATGGTCTGTCCATGTTCTTCTCGTGGTACCTGCTGGTACTCGGTAGCGTGGGTGTGAACTCGGATGACGGCATACCAAAAGTAAAACGAACGATTGTCTCGAAGTCTACGGCGCTGCTATACCCGATTTCATCGTCATTTCTCTTCTACTTTTAAGTTAATTCAGAATTGACAAGCCATCATTGCTTCCCGCATGTTCCGCACGTGCCTTGGTGACAGGCATAGTAAGCAATAGCTTTCTCTGCTTGCACTCTACACACAAGGAAGAATAAGATCATTAAGATTCGGACAGAGCACAGCTCTTTCATGTACTGATATTTGTGTGTGGTAGGAGCAGTAGAGGCAGTGTAGAATCACGTTATACTTGATGAAGGAGCTGTGTGCTTGCAGTGAGAGGTTTTGTGCTCCACTCTTGTTTGTATGGAATTACTCTATTGTATCATGGGAAGGAGTATAAAGTAAGTGAGGCAAAGAAACAAATCAAAAACTTGCAAAAGTACAGCTCGGGATATTTCGCGTACGTTAGTAATTTTCCCTGCTACACAGGCTTGCCCCCACGCCAAAGCAACCCTATGTGATTGATAGGATTGCACAATGATGCATTCTATCAACCACCCGTTTGAAACTACCTCCCAATAGCCTTAGAGCTACTGTAGATCAATAGAAAGCATTCTTTTGTCTTTGCAATTGCAATTCTTCTAGCTTGAACGGCTGATATTTTGCTGGCTCTTGGACAAATTATAGGGTAGTACAAAGGCAACACTAGCGGCAGCACTGCTGCAGCTCTAGGCGCCAGTCCAGACTCAGCAGCTCAGCAGCCTGAGCTCCCATTGATACCTTATTTTTTAGGCGCTAATCTTAGATGGGCTGGTAGTGCAACGCGACTTCGAGCCTCTGTTTAATCGCGGGCCTAAACGAGACGCGTCGCATCGCATGCTGGCAGCGCAGTTGATTTCCATTGATTTTGCGCAAATTCCCAGCAGGATCTCAAATCAGCCCCCCCGTCCCTTGGATGTTGCGCACCGGCGCCCGCGCAGCCTACCATGTATATCAAGCAAATTATCATCCAGGGCTTCAAAAGGTGTGGAATCGCAACCCCGCCAAGAGACACATCGTTGTGGTGGTGCATGTGCTGACTTAACACCGTAGCTACAAGGACCAAACGGTCATTGAGCCCTTCTCCCCCAAGACGAACGTCATCGTCGGCCGTAATGGATCGGGAAAGAGTAACTTCTTCGCGGCGATTCGCTTCGTCCTCAGCGATGCATACACGCAAATGAGCCGCGAAGAGCGCCAGGGACTTCTCCACGAGGGCTCAGGCTCGGCCGTCATGTCGGCCTATGTTGAAATTATCTTCGACAACAGCGACGATCGATTTCCGACCGGAGGCAAGGAAGTTGTGCTGCGACGTACCATCGGTCTCAAAAAGGACGAATACTCAGTGGACCGCAAGGTTGTGACCAAGACAGACGTCACCAACCTGCTGGAGGCGGCAGGCTTTTCACGATCTAATCCGTACTATATCGTACCCCAGGGCCGTGTCACTGCCTTGACAAATATGAAGGAATCTGAGCGATTGAACCTGCTTAAAGAAGTTGCGGGTACCCAAGTTTACGAAGCCCGCCGCGCCGAATCACTCAAGATTATGACTGAGACGAACAACAAGCGAGAGAAGATTGATGAGCTTCTTGAGTATATCAAGGAGAGACTGGCAGAACTAGAGGAGGAAAAAGAAGAGCTGCGTGGTTTCCAAGAGAAAGACCGAGAGAGGAAATGTCTGGAATATGCGTACCACCACAGAGAGCAAACCACTGTTCAGGCCGCCCTGGAGGAAATTGACAGCGCTAGGCAAGACGGCCTTGATAATGCAGACACGAGCCGCGGCCAGTTCCTGGAAGGAGAAAAGGCCATCTCCAAGATCGACGTCGAGATTCACAAGCTGGAAAGAGAATTGGAGCTTCTACAAATTGATCGACGCCAGCAGGAGGAAGATAGACGCGATAATGCCAAGCTGCTGGCCAAGGTCGAGCTGAAAGTAAAGAATCTAAGAGAAGGACAGTCCGCCCTGGAACAGGCTCGGCAACGCCACGATTCCGAACTCGCATCTGTACAAAATGAGATTGCCACCAAGGAAAAGGAGCTGTCACGACTACTTCCAAAGTATACACAAACAAAGAATGAGGAAGACGAGGTCAGAAGGCAGCTAGACGCCGTTGAAGCGCTAAGATCACGTCTTTTTGCAAAGCAAAGCCGCGGCTCCAGATTTAAGAATCGCTCCGAACGCGATGCGTGGCTCAAGCAGGAAATTGAAGAACTCAGCTTGACTATCAGCACTCAAAAGGCAAACAAGCTAGATGCTGATGAGGAGGTTGCTAGAGTGCAAAAGGCAATCGAACAGGGCGAGAGCGAGGTTGCCGAGCTGCGCTCACGTTTAGCCAACTGGAGTGGGGATCGAGGCCAACTGGTAGACGAAGCTGCCCAGGCACGAGCGACACTGGATAGGTTAAACGACGAACGAAAGCTGATTCGACGAGAGGATGACAAGCTGAACACTGTAATTTCCAACGCCAGGCAAGAAAAAGAGCACGCTGAGAGAGAGTTAGCTCATGCGGTGGATGGCGCCACCGCTCGTGGTCTGGCTACCATTCGTCGATTGAAGCAGGAGCAAGATATTCCAGGTGCCTACGGAACACTGGCAGACCTTCTGGAGGTCAGCGATGCATACCGGCTGCCCGTCGAGCAAATTGCGGGCGCCAGCTTGTTCCACTATGTCGTGGACAATGCCGATACTGCTACTTATCTTGCAGACACCATGTACAAACAGCATGGCGGTCGAGTAACATTCATGCCACTGGCTCAGCTTCGTCCTCGCAAAGTCAACTTTCCAAATTCCAATGACGCAGTTCCCCTTTTGAGCAAGATCAAATACGACTCCAGGTTTGAGAAAGCATTCCAGCAGGTATTCGGCAAGGTGGTTGTCTGCCCTAACCTTGCCGTGGCTGCTCAGTATGCTAGGAGTCATGGAGTGGATGGTATTACCGCTGAGGGTGACACTTCCAACAAAAGAGGTGCCATGACTGGTGGTTATATTGATCCTCGAAAATCGCGCCTCGATGCTGTACGAGCCGCCAACAAATGGAGAGAAGAATTTGACCGGCTGGTTGAACAATCTCGCGATATCCGTAGGCAGATTGAGCTTAAAGACCAGGAAATTACTGGGGCAATGTCTGAAGTTCAGAAATTCGAGCAGAGACTCAGACAAGCAGAAGATGGCTTCGAGCCGTTGAAGCATGAGCTTCGAAACAGGTCCTCTCATATCGAAAACGAGAGAAATCGCCTTGATGGAGCCATCAGGAGGCGAGACGCAGTTGAGAAGAACATGAGCGGATTTCTGCAAGAGGTTGCGGCCCACGAGGCTGAGTTAGGAACAGACTTCAAGAAGACCCTTACAGCAGCTGAGGAGCGAGAGCTTGAAGGATCAAGCCTTTCCGTCCAGCAACTCCAGAAGCAGTGGAATGATATAAGCAACGCCCGGCGAGTTCTCGAAAGGCAGAAGCAGTTGCTGGAGATTGACTTGCGGCAGAATCTCCAGATGAAGCTGGACCAGCTCAACAGCCAAGCCTTTGAGAACTCCGCCTCTGGTGGCGCTTCTGGAACCTTGAAAGAAACTGAGCGAGAATTGAAGAAGGCCCAGAAAGCTTTAAAGGCCGTTGAAGCTGATTTGAACGAGACCGAGGCTAAACTCGACGAGCTCAATTCTCGCCTGGAGCAGTTTGAATCAGAAAAGGTCAATCGTGAGCAGGTCCAGCTGGAAATTTCCACAAGGATCGAGAAACAGCAGAAGAGAATGGAGAAGACACTGCAGCGAAAGGCTCTCTTGATTTCACAGGCGGCAGAGTGTGCGAAGAATATTCGGGAGCTGGGAGTATTGCCCGAGGAAGCTTTTGACAAATATGAAAACATGCAAGCCAACACCGTAAGTTGTAGCACCCCATTATTTCTCCCCGAGAGTTGGGAAGGCAGACGGAGAGAAAGCTAACCAATTGTTTTGCCAGATTACATCAAAACTGAAAAAGGTCAACGAGGCACTGAAAAAGTATAAGCACGTCAACAAGAAGGCTTTTGAGCAGTACAACAACTTTACGACACAGCAGGAACAGCTGATGAAACGTCGAAAGGAATTGGACGATTCTCAAGGGTCCATTGAAGAGCTCGTGGAGCATCTGGATCGGCGAAAAGACGAGGCCATTGAGCGTACCTTCAAGCAGGTGTCCAAGGAGTTTGCCACTATTTTCAGCAAGCTTGTCCCGGCCGGTCACGGTCGTCTGGTTATCCAGCGAAAGACGGATCGTCGTCAAGATGCCGATGAGTCAGACGAAGAAGCCAGAGGCAGCGTTGAGAATTACATTGGCGTTGGTATCAGCGTGTCTTTCAACTCTAAGCACCTTGATGAACAGCAAAAGATTCAGCAGCTCAGTGGTGGTCAAAAGAGTAAGTGTCATATCTTTGCACAATCCATCTGCATAAGCCTCAAATGTCTGTTATGCCCCCCCCTGCTAACTCCGAGATCCTCCAGGTTTGTGTGCTCTCTGCCTCATCTTTGCGCTGCAGCAAACTGAAAGCAGCCCTATGGTTATTTTCGACGAAGTTGACGCCAATTTGGATGCGCAATACCGTACTGCTGTTGCCTCGCTTCTCGAGTCCATTTCCAACGAGGCTGGCACCCAGTTCATTTGCACTACTTTCCGACCCGAGATTGTTCATATTGCAGACAAGTGCTATGGTGTTACATTCCGCAGCAAGACGAGTTCAATCAACTGTGTCAGCACGGAAGATGCTCTCAACTTTGTTGAGGGACAGGCTAAGCCAAACTAGAAAGACTACATAGCGAGCGAATGTTGGTATATCATAGTATGACGCTTGGTTGAACATCCAGACACTGCTGGTATTTGACAGCCTGGAAAAGAAAATTTGGGAAGGGCGGAGTACGGCGTTGGGTATAGTGGACAACCCATGTGTATTTTGAAGGGCTGGTGGATATTGCTACAATTTGTACGAAAGAGATGACGCTGGCTAACGTGTGGAGGATTCTTTGATGTTTATGAAATCACTTTTCTTGGTGTTTGCCCTTTCCACATACCAAACTTATGTATAGTCGAGGTAGAGTAAGCCAACGTTTGGAGATTATACCCGGATGATCTTGGCTGCTCTGGCCAGCTTGATATGAAAACTTTTTACGTGTTTATGTGCAGGCACTTTGACTCCGATATATATCAGCACTGGCGTTTTGTAGACGATGTTTTGGACGCCAAACGATACAACGTCTTGCGGCAGCGCTAGACTATTGCTTGTACAGTTTTGTCATTTATATCACAAGCGGTTCACCACTCCTGTAAGCATATGGCATACAATTAGACCGGAGTCTGAATGATGCACAGTCGCTGTGAAGCTTTTGTACAACAAAAGTGTAAATTATACAAACCGGTAATGTTACACGTAGATAGCCAAATCTAAACCTCGGCATATCTGCTTCTTCATCATCATATATATCAATCAGCACACCTTCTATTTTCCTTTTCTCCCTTTCCCTTCCTTTCCCTTCCTTTTCCTTTTTACCTATCAGCCATCATATTCCTAACACCACGGAAGTACTCCGGCGCCAACTCCTTCTCCAGCTCCTCCCGCGTCAACCACTTAAAGTCTGTGTATCCAAAGGGGTTGCCCTTCAGGTCAGCCTGGCCAGCCATGATTCTTCCCTTGATGAAGAAGGTCTTTTGGCCCTTCTTCTGGACCTCGCCGCTCTTGCCGAGGACGGGCTCCTGGACGAGGTGGGCAACGGGGACGCGGCCGACGAGCCAGGTGTTCATGTTGACACCGGCAGCTTGATCCATTACTCTCTTTGCGCCCTATTTCACGCTTCGTGTTAGTATAACCATCTCAACAACAATTTTTTCCCCAATTCGACGTACCTCGTGGAGGTTCTCATCCTTGAGAACATCAGCAGGAAAGCCCCACCCATCCGGACCCTTGACAACAAGATACAGCGTCCTCTCCATCTGCCGGTCCAGCCGCCTCACATCATTCTTCTTATCCGCCTCAGACAGCCTCTCCACCGGCCTCTCAACAGGCACGACATCCTCCGGCGCAATAACCTCCGCATCGTCGCTGACACGCGCAGCAGCGTCCTTGAGCAGACTGTTGAGCACGCTCTCCTGCGAGCTCAGCTGGTCGCCGACTTTCAGCTCATCGTCCCACGCCTTGGAGCTCTTTCCGTGGTACGTCCCCAGCTCCTTGGCTACCGTGCCGCCTCGCTCCTGGACTTTCAGGCTCCAGTCGAGCTGCGCTGCCGTGTCGGGCTTGAAGTATATGCTTGTGATAAAGGGCGTGTTGAGACGTTCCTCCAGACGCTTCTGGTAGAAATAATAGGCGTTCTCGAACGGGTGGAGGGTTCTCGTCAGGAGGGGCGGCCGTGTGAGGACGAGGCCGGAGCGGATGTCGTAAGGATAGGGTGATTTGGTCGGAGGAGGAGGAGCAGCGTCAGTAACAGACGCCTTTATCTCCGCCGCTGCAGCCGCAGAATAGAATCGCGTTGTTGCGCATCTGGAGCAGATTGTGGGGGATGCTATATAATATAAAAAGGTTTCATTTATTAGTCCTTGCTTCTTTTGTCTCAATTGGCTCCCGTAAAGAACGAGTTTCTCACATGAGAAGATGCCTCGAACGGCTCTGCTGCCTCTACTTGACGCTGCCATCATGGCGGAATCGCGAATGGCTGCTGTGATATACTCAAGCACCACCTTTTTGATTGTCCGTGATGTCCTTGCGCCTCGAACTTTTTTGCTCCATCCAGCACAAGTACGTACCTCACCCCACCAAACCGAATGCTCGAAAGGATTACATAACCCGAGCAAATCCTAGCGTATAGTTTTTGCTGCCTCAGGCTCCACTAATCTCGCCGCTGCGCTGCCCAGCTAGGATATTTTCCCACAGAACCTTTCAATTTTTTTTTTCTTTTCCCTTTTCCCTTCTTCTCAAGGCACTATTACCTTATCGTCAAGTCTTGTTTTAACACCCCCAAAGCGTCTTGATCATTTATCATGTGCCGAGAGAGAACTTCAACGCAGTCTTTTTCGCTAGCGGCACCTTTTATTTATTTTCCCACTGGGTTCTGTTAGATAGATACTGCTGACATTTTTTACTACCACAATATCCAAAATTCTAAAAAATGAGAGCCCTTTTTTTGGGCGCCAAAATTTCTCCTTTTGCCTTCCCTTGTTTTCCTCTTCGTGTTCCCACCCCGCTGCTGTACTGACTATGAATGAATTTTCTTCCTGTCATTTTCTCTTCTCTGTTTCAACTGTCGCGTTAACTTCGTGATATCGGAAAGCAGCATACTTAGGCGATCATCGCGGCGGGTACTTTTATGTTTTTCTGTCTCATGCTAGCCTTCTCACCAAGGCTGGACGTACAGAGATAGCATAAAATGCGCGGAGAAGAGCTACCGGCATTTCGTCTTGTCGAATGCATGACCGGTAAAACACCTCGAGTCATCAGGACCTGTTGGCTAAAATTTTATTCAGTCAGGTGTACAAATTTCCACCACAATACCGTGGTGTGAATCGATTTAAATTCAAGCTATTGCTGGTTCTAAACCCTAGAATCCTCGTCCCAATGAAGAAAGGAGAAACGCGTCATGTATGAAAAGTACGATACATATCCAAGCACGATTCGCAATGCGCCGTAGCAGGATCGACAAGCGCTATCAGTATGACAAGAACTAAAAACAAATGCCCGACTCCTATTACACCTCGGTGTCCCTAAAATAAAATGCACTTCGCCGTCAACGAGGCTGGGGGTATCAAACCATGATATGGACCGCCGACAAAAGCCTTAAAACGCCAGACCAAATGCTTGTTTTTGCTTGTGCACCCGTGATCAGGCTTGAAGTTCGGAGATGGCTCGAGTCACCTCTTGGGTGACCTTGTTCTCCCATATTTGTCGTCGAGATTCGTCATCAAGTGAGGACACGTCCTTCACTTCGTCGTAAAGCTTTCGTGAGATGTCACGGTTGATCTTCGCATATTGTTCTTCAGTCAGCTTCTGAGCCCGCCAGTGCGGCCTGAGAGCGTTTCGAACAATTTCATTAACATTCTTCTTTTCTTCTGTCGTCATGGCATGTCTCATTGAGTTCTCGTCTCCCCGCGTTGGACTGGACTCGGGTGATGCTTGATGCACACGTCGCGGTCGGGGTTGGCGAAGTTCCAGAGGTCGACTCTCAAGTCGATTCTCGCTCCGGCCTTCAGTTCGAGGTTCTGGTTTTGGTGGGCGCGATTCAGAATCGCTATGATCGCTGCTGCTGAAGCGAGTGGGTGAGTAACTCGTGGGGGAATTTGTTGGTGAATAATTTGCAGGCGGGTATACCGGCTCGATGTGTGTGCTAAGGGATAGAGTCGGAGACGATGGCCGCCCGTTGAGGTTGGGTAATGGAGGTGGAGTTAACGAGAGAGCGCGAGGGCTGCCGTAAGCAGATGGCGATGGAGAGAGAGCTGGCGAAGATGCCTCATGGAAAGGGCGCCAGCCAGATGTTACGCCGGACGCCTCATCTTCGGAATGAGCATTGGGCTCTAGCTCTTTGAGCAGAGAGGATACAACAAGAGTCGGCTCGGCGTCGTTCTGGTCTGTATTACTGGTTCTTAGAGTAGAGCCATTGGCGAGTCTTCCTGTGGATGAGCTGGCCGGTGGCACAGCCGCAGTTGAGCTTTCTCCGTGTGTGGGAAGACGTCTAGTTCGCGGGCGCTTGAGTTTTCTCTCAGGTTCTTGGGTAGGTGGTTCAATGGGCGAGGCCGTCACAGACCGAGCTTTTCGTTTGCGAGTGTTTGGGCTGCTGGTACCCTCGGCCTCTCGAGCACGATCCAACGCACCCCAAGCCTGTCTCTCTTCCCTCGTCTCAACAGGTGGTGGCGGGGGTTGAAGGCGCTCGCTAATCCGAGGCGGTATACTACTCGCAAAGGACTCTCGTGCACCTAGACGCTGTGCAATGTCCATCCGTTGCTGCCACCGCTGCAGCTCCCGCCGATCAAGCTGCTGGAACCTGCGGTAACGTCCAAGATCTTCATCCTCGTCGTCATGGTTATCGAGGTCCAGCTCGCTTATCTCAAAGAAGCGGCCAGAGAACTGTCCCCAGGCACCCTGCCATTCGAGGTTGCGTGCTTGGCGACGTGCCCTCCTAAGACGAGCGCGGGTGCGGACGTGGAAGCCTCGGTTAGATCGAGGGGCTGGAGGGATAGTGTTTTGAGGCCTCTCGCCGTTCTCCGACGCAGCTCCCGACTCTGGTTGTTCCTCTGTCGTCTGGAACAGATGAGCACATTCCATGCAATACCAGGCACCCTCCGGGATATAGTCGAGACCGATGCAGTGCGTGTGGTAGGCTGCGTCACAGCTATCGCAAAGCAAGAGGATGTCTTCTCGCTCTGCCGAGTCGCAGATGGGGCATGGGTTGGATTCTTCCTCCTCTTCTTCCGGGTTCTCCCCGAGCCACTGCTGCACATCGAATTCGGCAACCTGCTTTTTATCCTCGACGTCGTAGGTGGAAATGGCGATGCCTGTAGAATTCGCCCCATGTGAGTTAGCATTTGGTATACCATGTAGTACAGCGTGGCTGTGGAGGTACTTGTACACAGAGGGGCTGTAGCTGTAGCTGTAGCAAGCAGTAGGGGAACTTACCATCCAGGCCGTTGTAGACTCGAACCGAGTGGAAGGGCTTGCGGCAGATGGGGCAAGTATTGGTCTTTTGAGCCCAGGAGCGGATGCATGCATCGTGGATGATGTGGTCACAGCCATCGAGGGCGGCCACGATGTTGAGATAGTTGGAATCGCTCTCAGCGGCCTCGGACGTGGACGCAGCAGCGGTGTCGACGGCCGCCGCGTTGCTCTGCGTCGGGGACGAGGGGTGCGGCAGCGGATCCAAACATATGATACACTGGTCAGGCTCAGACATGATGCCGATTGTGATGACAGACGCCAGTAACTGATGGACACATGTAAAAGACAAACGAGGTATATAAGTGCCTGATGGGGCAAAAAAGAACAAGACGAGCAGTTTAGAAAATAAAGCTGTTATTTCTTGAAACAAAACGTGCGAAAGGCGCTGGTCTGTGGCGTGTGCTGCCAGAAAGAGAGCGAAGAAACTGGGTTTGGTATGAAGGCTAATATGATGTGTATTAGTGGTTGAGGTGCAATAAGGGCAGCGGTACCGCGCACGGTGGGAAAGGTACCTCTGGGGCTTACTTTTTTTTTTCTTCGTGCAACGGAATCAGAGCAAGAGGCAGAGGATTGAAAGAGGGAGAGTTCAGCTGGAGACAGCCCAGAAAAGGCGGGCTGCTGGCGAGCTAGCGCAGGCCTATTAGGGGTCTGGGCGGGGCCAATCAGCGAGTCGCAGTGCTGGAGGCGCCACGCCTGTTAATCACCTGTGCGAGTGCCTCTGGAGGTGGTGGTGGCGGTAGATGGTAGAAGTCAGGGCGAGAAATGAGGGGATTGTTTGGATCTCTGGTCTGTCTGGGGTGAGCCCGTCAGAGTTTGCTCAGAGGAGGTGGGTGGGTTAGCAGGTACCTCTGCAGCTCTCCGCCTGCAGGACTGAGAGTTAAGTTGGAAATTGGGTGAGTATAGTTGCTGGTTACAGGCAGGGAGGTGAAATGCGAAGGAGTGTAGGTACCTTTTGTGTTCTTTTCCATCAATGATCTAATTGTGTCTTGTCTTAGCATAGATGCTCTGGGTCACGTCTACTAAGCTACGGTGCTCTTTATACCGGAGCTGGAGGCGGCCGTGGACAGCAAGGTACCACCTCCAAGGTACCCCATTGCCCGTGACTCGGAGGACGTCAGACCTCGTATATTAATCTGTTAAGCGGTCGGGGAGCTAATAATAACAACATACGACCAACATTGAGAAACGTCTGAACGACTTGAGGCTGCCTGAGGCAAGGAGAGAAAGTCGCTGTATTGGAGAAATGAATAAGAGCGGAAGAGCTCGTCATCGCTTCTCGTTGGTGAGAGACTTTCTGCATGCTGTAGAGCAAAAGGAAAATGCAGGTATATTGCGGAGAGGTAATACAGTACCTCTATACCCGCATGAGAGTACATTCAGAGCAGTCTCGGCTCCGGTGGATGCAAAAGTACAAATCTACAGAGCTCCGTGTTACTGCTAACAAGGCGTTACCGCCTGCACATTCCTTCGCTCCTTGCAGCTGTGGCAGCGCCCTCGTGGTCTACTGCTAATACAGAGCCTCGACAGTCATGAAAAAGCTGCCGGCAAAGCAACACGAGGACTGAAGACGAAAAGATGACTGAGATATTACTACTGTCTGTAGGTACAAAATGCCGCCGAAGCACTAAAGGTTCCCGTCCTTACAAGGTTCCCTACAGTATGCTTCCGCTGGTCTCACGCGCCGAGGCGTTGGAAAAATGAATCTGCAATTGGTCGACGAAGCCATGGCCGCACACTAACTAAATTGAATGGAGCTTCAATGTTACGCGCAGCAGGGTAGCGTGTGTTCATTGAGATGGCATTGTCATTATAAGGTTAGTGTTGAGCAAACACTGTATGGATACGCCTACCATCTTGACTCTGTAACTCAGCACCAGGCCCGCTTCTCCTAACGTCGTAAAAAAGAGGCATGGTGTACCTCCCCAGAATGCATCTCTTGATGGGAGAATTGCCCAGGTTGTACTAGTTGGCCGGCGAGGTAGGGGCATCACTGCAACGGTAGCTCCATGAATACGAAATACCTACTAGTAGGTAGAGATGCACGAGATACGGTTGTTTACATTGGGTCCGCTGGAGAAGGACAGCCGGCCTGGATGTAAAGGCAGAAGAAAACATGCAAATCCCGACAGCCGCGTTTCCTTGTGGTGATCAAAGTTACTACTACTAGCCTTAGGTACATGTAGGCAGCTCTACCGCGGTGGTGCCTGTAACCGCGCCTAGTTCCGGAGAGGAGTCGGATTCAGTGGACAAGGGCAGAGGAATGAAAGGGCTGGTGCATGCTGAGAGTTTGCCGGGATGTGGATTGAGAGATGGATTTACTTGGCGCTTGAGGGGATCGCCTGGCCCTGACTGCTACTAAAATGCTGTAGCGCAAAACACATCGATCTTCACCAGCCGGATGTAGTTTTTCACTTGAATCGTGAATACAGGTACCTAGTTTAACCATGATCTATGTAAGGCTATTTGCCATGAAAGGTAAGAATTTTTTTCATTATAAAGTGCATTGCCATATGTCTCGTGATACCCACACATGTCGTTATCAACTCGCCATTGATCCCATAAACTGAGTGCAGCGCATTTGACCACACAGAATGCCTGCCCTGAATGCTATACAGAGAGACCCCACTTGCCCGCTTCACGCCGTTTTGACGACTTTTTCTTTTGGTTGGCAAAACTGCAAGTCAACCAACCCATGAGGTTTCTAAAATGCATGCTCACTCTTGATATTTTTCAAAATTGACCTGAGGTGTCTCTCGCAGCTCGTTTAGCAACATCTCAGGTTTCAATGTGAATCCAGCTGCGATCGGGTGACATGTTAGCGGGACTCTGATTACGAGCACTGCTACGCTGCGAGCTTTCCTCGGTCCACCTGTTCAATTGAAGGCTACCGACAAGATGCCCGTCTGATGCGGGCAGTGATTCTCGCCGCAAAACAAGTACCGTGGTGAGAACCCTTGTGACCTACGCCGGTGGATCAGAATGAGACGATATCGGTAGGTATGGACAAGCTGCTACAGAGATTTCGGCCTTGCCAATTTCGGCGAATGCTGCCGCTGTGCCGTTGTATGTGACATCGTGAGAATCCGTGCATGAGCATGTCACGTACTGGCGTTTCTACAATATTCTTCAGAGTGCGCTGTTTGATTTGCAGATTCTTCCAGTTGCGCGACCAGTGAGTGGTCGTCTACTTCTCAATATGCAGAAAATTTCGTCAAAGAGGAAATCGAAAACTGCCCTGGTCAACTCCTATCTCCGTCACCCACCCAGCACATCAGTTTCACAAGTCGCTCAGGGCTCTGTGTGGCATCATTAATCATTCGTTATTCGGTTGTCCGAGATAATGCAATTTTCTTCTTTTTGTTCATTGCCTATCGACCGGTGTTTATGACCAAAGATCGAGCGTCGACGTTTATTTTTCGCCAGCTCGCAGTGTATGCACGCAAACAATGTCCCCCATACACCAGACCGAAAAGCAAAGCCGAATCCTTCACCATTGTACCAAAGAAAACGCCTTAAACCTCAGCAATCTCCCTCAATCGTCGCAGAGTTGATCGCATAGCGGCGGCAGCGGGGGTGCTACAGCAAGGTTAGTATTCACTTTTCGAATGTTGATTGCAATCTTTCGTAAGATCTCGTTGATCTCCGCGGTGGTAGTATATAGACGTACGCAACAGTGTAGGCACCGCCAGCAATGGTTCGCTTGCAGGAGCGGCAGTTCCAGATACCGGTGGACTTTCTTCGGACGGTAACCTTACCGCAGAAAGTGCAGGTGTACTTGGCGTGCTGGGTGATTTCCATCTTCTTCACCTGCTTTCGCAGGGAGGCACCGTAACTATAGCCAGTTGCATTAGTTTCCAGTTCGTCTTAGGTTTGCTTTGTGTGGTCCGTAAAAGTTGTCGTCGAGCATTTCGCGGGATATCGTTGGAGGTTGCCATAGATAGAATCTCTACATCCGACATCTCTTCTCCAAGGACCATGAATAGTAGTCGTGCAGAATAATTGGTGACTCGTTTCGTCGAGGCTCGAAATCGATATATCGGGTTGGGGACAAGGCTGATGGGTATCTTTCAAAGACTCACCGGGTACCATATTTACCGCTGCAGACAACCACGTTAGCAAAGATTCATTTGATCAGTCTGAAACATTGAAAAGAGTATACGTACGTCACGCCGACCTTCTTGGTGCGCTTGGTCATCTTGACGGATTTCTGTGAGGATGGCGAAGTTTGAGTGCTTGACTTCGGTTGCAAGCTTCGCTCACGAAAATGTGCTAGAAACCTGGAGTTGTGATTTTTTTAGGGCACGCACGTGAGGGATGGCCAAGCGAAGTCCCACTGTTCTTTTTTCTCTCAAAGCGCACTATCGATAACAACTGACGACAGTCACGTGAATGCTACGCCATCGCCTTTTCGCGTGCGCTTGTCCGTGGCCTTTTTGCATGCTTGGATTGGGTGATAAATGCGGGTTGGCTATTACTCAGGACTCCATCGTCATGGGCCATCCGCAAGCGGTTGTGCCGGCTGAACAGAGGTCGAGGCATCATTGGCTTGCATGTGTCGAGCCTCCCTATTCTAGAACTGCCTTAGGTAAAAGTGAAACATTAGAAGAATATATGAAATTGAACAAGCACAATTTTATTGATCTGCATTGAAGAGTCTGCTTGACTTTTATCCTTCCCGATTGGTGCTTGTGCAGAGTGACAACATCAAGCAAGCCAAGTGACGATATTCCGCATCGCTCTCCCACTATTTGCGATACTGATCTTTCCCTTCACTTCTGCAGAATTTTAACATTCCTTTATCATGTCTTTTAAAGAGCATAATCGTCTGTACGACCTGGTCGTCTTTGGGGCTACTGGTATGTGAGCCCAGAACTGCCATGATATTTGAAGAGTAGCGATGGCTCACATACAGCTTAGGGTATACCGGCCGTGTAGTAGCTGAGTACATTACGGCCAACTTCCCGATTGATACGAAATGGGCTGTTGCGGGTCGCTCCGTGTTAAAGCTCCAGGCAATCGTCGACAATTGCAAATCGGTGCATTCAGATAGAAGCCCACCAGGTCAGTTATGGCCACCTCTGGAATCCTCCCAAACACGACATGTCGCCAGGAGACAGAAGCACTAATACGATCAAAATACAGAAATTGAAATCGTCAATGTGGATAACAATGAAGAGATGAGTGCGTTGGCGAAGAAGACGTTTGTCATGATTACAACTGTCGGCCCATACAGCCAATATGGGGAGCAAGCGGTCAAGGCATGCGTGGAGGCCGGCACGCACTACCTTGATGCAACTGGTGAAGCACCCTGGGTCTATAAGATGATCAAGAAATATGAATCGGCTGCGAAAGAGAGCGGCGCGATTCTCATCCCTCAGATGGGCCTTGAGTCTGCGCCTCCAGACCTCTGTACCTGGTCTTTGGCCAAAACGCTTCGCAAAGAACTAGATGCCCAGACCAAAGACGTCGTCCTTTCGCTTCACGTTTTACGGTAAGTCAAACTACATTTACCCGATAGTGGCGTAAGACACTGAAATCTTGCTTGTTCAGAGCGGCACCATCTGGCGGCACCATCTCTACTGTTCTCAGTGTATTCGACAATCTTACTCTGACTGAACTGCTGGAGTCTGGAAAGCCTTTTGCTCATTCTCCCGTACCTCACCCAGCCGAGCCAAAAAGACGTGAAACCTCCATTTGGCAAAAGATCCTTGGTATTCACAATGTCCCTAACCTTGGAACTCTGACCACGGGCTTGACTGGTACTACCGACCAGGGAGTAATAGAACGCTCGTGGGGGCTTTTATCGCAAATTCCCAGCCGGAAAGACCAGTTTTACGGGCCAAACTTTCATTGGGAAGAATACAGCAAGCCTCGCAACTGGCTTGAGGGGATATTAACCCATTGGCTGCTCACAATCGCAGTTCTATTCCTAGCAATAGCGCCTGTCAGAGCAATAGCTAGAAGATTTGCTCCTGAACCAGGCACAGGCCCTTCCGAGGAAGATATGGATAAGGAAGAGGTTGAGTGGCGTGGCATAGCAAATCCTGATACGAAGTCGCCTGTCACCAAGCAAGCCTTTGTTCGAGCTTGGTATCATGGTAGCATGTACAAGTGTAAGTGTGAAATGACCAAAAATTCCCTCTAGACTGAAGATATGAAAATTCGGGTCCTGACTCTTAGACATGCAGTGACGGCAATGCTTTGCAGCGAAGGCGCACGTATACTTTTGGAGGACGATCTCGAGTTAGGTGGGGGCTTCTATACCCCATGTTGTCTTGGGCAGCGCATCATCGATCGGTCTCATGAGGGGGGCTTGAAGATTGAGACGCGAATCCAAGACAAGTGAGTCTGAGCAGCTTACTGTACTCTATGTTTATGTGCCTGTAGTTGGCTGAATCAATTTTGCCGACCTAGGCTTTTGAACGCTTGAAGTCTCTTCATGAAGATGCTCATAAATACCTACCAGGTAGGTATATAGCCGCAGCGTGTCCGAAGATGGTATTTATGAAGAGCAGCCCAGTGACAGTGACATGTGGTCTTGAGACGGGAGAGAGTTCATGGACTTAAGAATTGTCTCATGATAATACTACTTGTTATATACAAACCATCAGTGCAAGTCAGAGAAGCTACATTGCATTCGAAATTGAAATCACGGCTTGTATGTTTAGATAGAAAACCAAGGCTGTATCAACAGAACCATAACAACCATAGCCACTAGCACCGCACCTATCAATCATGCCAAAACTCAACTCTTGCGCCATAACATGTAGTAAAGTATCTCATGTTGGGTACCTAAAATTAATAGGTCCAGTTTAGTTAAGAAGTGTTTGCAGAGCACTTCTTGATTCTAGACCTAATCCTTTTAATAGTGTGTGCTGTACTCGGATATGGCAATATATCTACTTCATCCCCATGGACGATGGTGTTTCCACGCTGCAGCTACTAATCCGGCTAAAGTACCGTCTGCACACGAAGCTCTAGTGGGGCCGAGCACCCCCCTAAGTGCCCCAATTCTAGAGGATGCGGCAGACAAAATTAGCGCTCCATAGTGGACAGTGGACCCAGACCGCTATCGACGAATCTGGGCAGGAAAATTGGGCAGGACTCCGTCATCGAGCAGCAGGTGCTGGCTGGCAGCCTCAAATCTTTCTGCCCACGCAAACCTCATCATAGCATCTACGGTGTGCTTGTTGGCCAATCGCTCTCAATGCCGTCATCGGCCTTAGCACATGAGCGTTATTCACATTTATGAGCAGATCAACACATCTTATTCTCTTATCACTTACAAAACGCGATACTCTGGACCGACTTCGCTAAGCCGCTGCAGCCCTTACTTGTGACCCAAGTCGCTCGCTATCAGCTTCTTGCATTCAAAATGGAGTCTCCTGGTGCCACGAACATAGATGCTGGCGAGACTACGCCTCTGCTGCCCGGCTCCGAAACTCCCCGACCGAAGCCCGTACGAACAGTCACCTTCAGCGCCAATCCCGTCAGCCGAACCATCGAGCCAGAATCTCATCGCCTTCCAAGGAGTCATGCTTCACACAATGTGAATCTGCAGGGCGGCAGCAGCATCGTCGCCGGCCCGCCAATGCTGGCGGCGCTGAATAGCAAACTGCGCCGGCGAAACAGCCACGGACCCGGCCCTGCGATTGCTTCTGTACAGGGGCTACCCAAGATTGGCCCGCAGAGAAGCACGAAAAAGACGGAAAAGCTCAAGCTGCTGCCAAATCCCGACTTTGGCGACGAGGGCGAAGATGAGGAAAGTGGAAGAGACGTCTATTCTCAATACACGCGAATCAAAGACCCAACGGCGCGAAGAGATGCTGCGCGGCTTGGCAAGGCCGATCGAGACCGACTACCGCGTGTCACGGCGTACTGCACAGCCAATCGCTATGAGATGGACCAACTCATGAGATTCCTCAAAGGGCGAGGAAAAACTCGCGGCGCAAACCCGAAGCTTATTGACGAGTGTATATACACGCCGTACATGTACGGAAAAGGTCGACACAGCAATGATCTTGCCTCGCCAACCCTGGAAAGACGGCACTCCACGGGAGGCGAACTGGTAGACGGCGAGACTGGGCAGGAGGATTATAGGCCTAGGCATCACGAACAAGAGGATTCCGGCTACGGAGAAGCCTTGATGGTTGACGATCGCCGAGGGGCGGCGGGCGAGCTTCCCAGCGAAGAGCTGCTTGGCCCTACCATGCAAGAAGACTTGCCCATAAAGGATACGGTGCCTGACTTTGACATTCAAGTCCATACGCCAGAAATTTTCCTGTTTGACTACGGTGTCGTGGTAATATGGGGCATGACGGAGATTCAAGAGGCCAAGCTTTTGAAGGACATTTCCAAATTTGAACTCGAGAAGCTGGCCCCAGATGATGTTGAGACGGAGCATTTTAACTTTTACTACACAAGGGAGTACCAAGCGCGAATTTACAATGACTTTATCACGCTGAGAGACAAGAACAACTACATGACCAAGCTTGCCATCTCTCACGCATTGGCACAGAGCGTCAAGGTAAGACGAGTCTGTCAAAGAAGATGGTATAACGAAAATGAGGAGAAATCAGCATGCTAATTGATTCCATAACAGACATCACTCTTCGAGGAACTCATCGCATCCACCATTGATACCTGCAAAGATATTCCTACTCAGATCGCCCTGACTGGTAAAATAGCTCTGAACCGGAAACAAATCAACATGCAGATTGGAGAACTCTTCATCTTGAGGATTAACATTCATCTCAACGGATCCGTGCTGGACACTCCCGAGCTGTTCTGGGTAGAGCCCCAGCTAGAACCGGTCTACCAAGCAGTCCGGAGCTATCTGGAGATGGATCAGCGAGTTGGTCTGGTGACGGAGCGGCTGGATGTCATTGCCGACTTGCTGGCTGTTCTTAAAGACCAATTGACCCACGGCCACGGCGAAATGCTCGAATGGATAGGTATGACTACAAATCCTCCTTCTTCTTATTTCAAATTATTGTTATGAATACAGTAACGCTAACTGGTTCTGTCTAGTAATCATCCTGATTGCCATGGAGATCTTGGTAGCTGCGATAAACATTGTCGTGGATTTATATGCTGGGGAAGCGTGATTGGAATTGTTTACTGCCTTTCTTTTTTTTTCTTTTTTTTTTATCCTTGGGTAGCACTGGATTCGGAGCTCTGTGGGGAACTTTAATGTGATGCTTGGGATGGATATTTGATTGCACGGAGTACAGCGGAAAGGCCAGACAAAGATCAGGCGGCGTTGATATTCCGGGGAAAGCGAACTTTAGTATCGTTATAATGCAAATAAGACAATTACTTGGGATTAGTATTCTTCATCTGGATATAGCTCATGCCGTTAGTTTTGACAGGTATATGTTCTTGTTATAGTTCAAAACGAATTGGTTTTTAGTAGGTCATTTAATATACATGCATCCAAAGTTCCAGATTATAGACGCACCCCATTAATTACAGTGCCATTTAACGAGGAAAAAAAAAAGGAAAGAAAGAAAACAGAAAAGCCAAAAAAACAAAGAAACCCCTCTTTATCTTGTACCAAAAACGCCCCTCAACGCATGTCTCCGGCCCCTTCATCCTGTAAGCTCGCGTGATTGCCTCTTATCTATTCGTTTACTCGTCGCCATCTTTGTCTTGAGTCTCCTGGTCCTCAGTATCGTAGTTGCTCATCTCTACATCTTCGTCGTGAGCCCGAGACTTCTCTGTCTCTGGTTCGGCCTTGATGCTCTTCTTGGGAGTATCGTCATCAGCATCAGCATCAGCCTCGGCCTCAGCTTCCGCTTCAGCTTCGACATCTGCGTCAACATCTGCGTCGGCCTCGGCCTCTGCTTCGGCCTCTGCTTCAGCTTCAGCTTCAGCTTCCGCTTCCGCTTCCGCTTCCGCTTCCGCTTCCGCTTCCGCTTCAGCCTCAGCCTCAGCCTCAGCAGCGGTCTTTTCTTCTTCCTCCTCCCGAGCCTTCTTCAGTTCATCGAATTTGGTTTGATATTCCTCCTTTTCGGCCTCTGGCAGTTCCTCCCAGGCACGAGTAAGCTCCTCCTCGATATTGACATCGGCGTCATCCTTGTTCTTAGCCTCGAGTGCGGGCCGAGTCTCTTCGCAGTAGAGCTCAAAAGGATCTTTGTATTCCGCAGAGGCCTTGGACACGCCATTGGTACGAGAACCCTTGGCCGACTCGGAAGTCGGGGACGCGGGGTCCTTTGCAGCGCCCTGCTTCGCGTCGGCATCTGCTGGCGCGTTGGATTTTCGGTGGCCTTTCTTAATGCGCAGCGGCTTATCCTTGGGCTTTCGGGGGTTAGCATTCGCCTCAACTGGGATATCGAATGTGGTTGCCTATTTAGTTGCACTCAAATATCAACACTGAAAAAAGGCGTTTGGCGGGGGACGAAAGCCAAATAAAAAAGGGGAGGAGTCTCAAAAGCGCAGTGCCGTTGAAGGAGATGGGAAGGATAGGAAGAGAGAAAAGTCGCAACCAGAAAAGTAACATGAGAAAGACGTGAAGTGAATTTTGCTCGAGGAGACATACCGTGGGAGGAGGGCTGGGGCTGCCCTCGGAATCTTCGACGTTGGTGCTGGTGCGCTTGGCTAATTGTTCCAGCAGAAACGCCCGTTCTATCCTCAGCTTCTCGACTTGGCGTTTTATGCGGGCGAGTCGTAGTCTGGCCGCGTCGTTGGCCTCCTCGACCTCGTTTGTGCGATTCTTCAGCTGGAGACACTTCCGTCGGTAGGCTTCCTCAACGGATGGCGGCAGCGGAGAGGGCACGCTGGCTGGCTCAATGTTAGCCTCGGCAACCAATTTTCTTTTGGCGGGCATCGTGGTTGTGGTGTTTTTTTTTTTAGCGCAAGTCGTCACAAGAAGAGCGAAGAGCGCTGATGGACAATGGCGTTGCCGAAGATGCGAAGTTGCAGCGAGGCGCGGGATAGAGCCGAGAAGAAGGCAATTGACGATGCTCTCGGAAGTTTCGCAGGAGACGCGGCGCAGCAGTCGATGGGGCGTGCAATGCGGCCGAGAAGGAAGAAATTGTGCGTTGTTGAAGGGAGGACGTAGAGACAAGCAAGAAAAAAAAAGGCTTAGAACTCACAAGGCTGGGGCGCCATGATGATAAGTCGAGGTACGTCTAATCCAAGGTTAAGTGCGATGCGCCGTGCGGATGGGCATACGCTCTAATGTACAGTGTACCTCTGGCTTGGTCACGACAGCCGGTCTGTGGAATGTAGGCAGTACAGCGCAGCGGGCTGGAGGGCCAAACAAGACAAGATAATTTGAGGATGCGCTCCACAAGGCGCGAACAACGCGTGCAACTTAATGGGACGGTACGGAAGAGCGCCGCAATTGGGGCTTTTGCAAGTGGCGAGAGAAGTAAGAAGCAAAAGCAAACAAAGAGCAAAGGGATAAAGAAAGCAATTAGCAATGAATAAACAGAAAAGCGATGGAAAATAGCAATTCTATGAGCCGTGATGACTGCAGCCGCACATTAGATTATATACTTCGTCTAAGCATGTCTTCTAGTGATGGACGTGTGTGTAAGAAGAAGAAAAAGGTGTATCAAGTAAGACGATTGCGCTGGCATGGTACTTTGAGCAAACGGGTGACTTTTTGGGGGCGGTGCGAGGCTGCAGCTGGACAGGACAGGCAATGGAAGCTAAGCTGAGGCAGGGCTACAGCGCATCAGCAGCAGGCCTTGATCAGCATCAGATGGGCCTTAGCAGCATCAACTTGCATGGACTTCTTGACTGGAGTTTACGCGTGGGAATATCAAGCTGTATGATGTAGTTCTCCTTTTACAAGTAGATTATTCAACGCCTGGAGTGTTCGCAACCAACTCAGGAACCTCCTATCTGTACCTGTCAACCTGAGCACCAGCTACAGTATCTGTAATCAGCTTCCCAATGTTGTACTGAGACTGAAGCTGCTACTTAGAGTATCTCCTCCAACAATGTAACATCTAACCTATCGAAGCTGTCTCTATGTCCGTATTTACACACAGTCTATTAGTAAGATTACAGCTATAGCATTCTTTCTTCCGCCTTCTATCGAAGCCGGCAGCAATTCATCCAAACATCTAGCTGGGTACTCCATATAAAACCCCCCTATTCGACTCGCATGGAGGGGCAGCGCAGCGGAACAACACCCTTTCCTTAGCGGCCATGATTGGCTAAGCACCACAAAAACTGCCCCCAGGCTACCAGCAAACTACCCCCAAGATTTTCCCAAGGAGCTGTCCAAAGGGAACATCGCCAACTCCCCATAACTTGCGTGACTGGGCGGGTGCACGAAACAACTCTGGCAAAATCCTCTGATTCGGCCACATTTTACCCATCATGTCTCTCAACATCCCCAACGCGCCCAACGCGGGCCTCTTCAAGCAGGGCTACAACAAGTAAGTGCCAACCCCGCCATCACCGGCCGTTGAAGCCTGAAGCCTGGACTCTGGCTGACAAGACAATTCGTGTGCCTGTAGCTACGATTCAGAAGATGGCGCCGTTCTCCGAAATATCGATGCCTGCCGAACCATCGCCTCGACCGTCCAGACGTCGCTGGGCCCCTACGGCCGCAACAAGGTCGTCATCAACCACCTGCAGAAGATGATCCTCACCTCCGACGCCGCCACCATCCTCCGCGAGCTCGACGTTGTGCACCCCGCCGCCAAGCTCCTCGTCATGGCTTCTCAGCAGCAGGAGGCCGAGATGGGCGATGCCACCAACCTGGTCATTGTGCTGGCCGGCGAGCTGTTGAAGAAGGCAGAGGACCTGCTACGCATGGGTCTCAAGACCTCCGATATTGTCATCGGCTACGAGAAGGCCCAGAAGATTGCCTTGGAGGCTCTGGATGAGCTCTCAGTGGACAAGATTGAGAACATCCAAGACCAGGCTGAGCTGAGCAAGGCCCTGCGGACTGTCATTGCCAGCAAGCAAAACGGAAACGAAGACTTTCTATCAGGCCTGGTGGCCGAGGCCGTCTTGGCCGTTCTGCCCAAGAACCCCGCCAACTTCAACGTCGACAACATCCGAGTCGTCAAGATCATGGGTGGCAGCTTGGATCAGAGCAGGGTCGTCAAGGGCATGGTCTTCCCCAAGGAGCCCGATGGGTCGATCAAGAAGGCCAGCCGTGCCAAGGTTGGCGTCTTCACCTGCCCCATTGACACAAGCCAGACAGAGACCAAGGGCACCGTGCTGTTACACAACGCAAAGGAGATGATGGACTTCACCAAGGGCGAGGAGGCACAGCTAGAAACCGCAATCAAGGAGCTCCACGATTCTGGCCTGCGAGTGGTCGTGTGCGGTGACCGAGTCGGCGACCTGGCCATGCACTACCTGAACCGCTATGGAATTCTCTGCATCCGAATCCTCAGCAAGTTTGAGCTGCGACGAGTCTGCCGTGTCGTCGGCGCCACACCGCTTGCTCGACTGGGCGCCCCCATGCCCGACGAGATGGGCAGCATCGATGTTGTCGAGACGATCGAGATTGGCGGTGACCGCGTTACAGTGTTCAGACAAGAAGATGAAGTCACCCGCACTGCTACCATTGTCCTCCGTGGCGCTACCCAGAACCACCTCGACGACATTGAGCGAGCTGTTGACGATGGTGTCAACGTTGTCAAGGCTATCAGCAAGGACAACAGACTGGTTCCCGGAGCGGGAGCTACGGAGATTCAGCTGAGCGCAAGGATACAGGCACAGGGCGAGAAGACACCAGGTCTGAGCCAGTACGCCATCAAGAAGTATGGCGAGGCCTTTGAGGTCATTCCCCGTACCCTGGCCGAGAGCTGCGGTCTTGATGCTACGGAGGTTCTCAGCACACTGTACGCTGCCCACCACAAGAGCGAGAGCGGCGATGCTGGTGTTGATGTGGATAATGAAGAGGGCAACGGAGTGCTCAACGCCACCAAGGAGGGTATCGTCGATTTGTTGGCCTCCAAGAACTGGGCCATTAGACTCGCTACCGAGGCTGCCCGCACCGTCCTGTCAGTCGACCAGATTATCGTGGCGAGACAGGCTGGCGGGCCGAAGCCTCCTGGCCCCAACCCTGTAAGTTTCTAAACCTCCCTTCCATGAACATTTACAACAATACTAACACCTCTTACAGAACTGGGATGAGGACTAAAGGAGTCGAAGTTTGTTAAAGGGCATAAAAGAGGATGGCGGAGGGGCATATAAAAGCATAGATAATCCCGGATCATTTTGAGGCAGGCTATGTGTAATATGATATAACGGACAAAAAGAAACAAAAATAGAATCTAATCTGGATCTCGGCGCAGTACTGCCGGCGTGAAAGAGAATCTTAGCAATGCGAGCCGCACGTGCAGCCTTATCTTGCCGATCTGGTGGCTGATAAATTCAAATCTGCCAGTGTTGCTGCCAACCTGTATAACTCCGCCGCGATGCGGACAATGTTCGCAGGCAGTTATGGATCTGGCGTTTAGACTAGGCCAAAACCCGCGCGGATACGCGGAATTACCAGGCCTCTCTAACAAAGCCACCAATCAGAGCACACAGCGCCGCACTGATTCAACGCCCCTGGCAGCTGTTAGCGAAGAAGGATTTCCTTTTCCCACAAGGCTACAACTTATCTTCGCCTTCGCCTCTTTTTGGTCGCTTTCATCCCGCGCGCTTGTGAGAAGCGGGAAAAGGGCTGAAAGTCGCTGAAAAGTGGATAACCTCGACTCGAGCGAATCAGAGGCAACAACGCCAGGATCCTTTTTTCCTTCTTTCCATACATGGCAGTCTTTCTCTTTTAGCTTAGACGGCAGTTGAGGTTGGCTTTGAACCCTTCTTTTTGCGTTTCCCTTTTTTCGATGTAATACTACATTGAGCATGTCCGTTTAGTAATTTGTGTGTTACGTATTGCGTATTCCTATCTCGTCCCTGGCTTTGCAACCCTTCAGCGAAGCGCTCTCATCCACAATTAGGAGCCTCATCCAGCTTTGCGGAGTTTTGTTTTCACGAACGAACAAAAGACAATGAGTATTTTATTTTAGAGAATGACGGAATTATGGTTTGAAATGCCAATTTGAAATGAAATCCATGGAAAAAAGAGATTGTAAATCATCAATGGAGATGTATTTGCCGTGATTTTGTATAAGTGACAGCCCCCTTTTCACACATGTATATATCACAACTGCCCACCCCCCAAGGAAAGAGGAGAAGAAGACTAACAAAGCACAATACCATCAAAAACACTCTCATCTCTCCAACCAAAACCCAAAACCCACCAAACAAAGAACAAATTCTTCAAAATGGCCTCCAAAATCGCCATCATCATCACCAGCACCCGCACCCCCCGCGTCGGCCCTCACATCGCCACGTTCGTCCACAACATCCTCAAATCCCACCCTTCCGCCTCCTCATCAACTTTCTCCATCGTGGACGTCGACACCTTCAAGCTGCCCGTCTTCGACGAGCCCGTCGTGCCCGCAAACGTCCCCGCCCGAGGCTCCTTCATCCACGACCACTCCAAGAAGTGGTCCGCCGAGATCGCCTCCCACGACGCCTACGTCCTCATCGCGCCCGAGTACAACTACGGCGTCGCCGGCAGCACGAAGAACGCCATCGACTACCTCAAGAACGAGTGGGACGGCAAGCCCGCCGCCATTGTCACCTACGGCATCCAGGGCGGCAAGACTGCCTCTGAGCAGATCAAAGGCACACTTGAGGGCATGGGCCTTCGCGTCTCGGCCACCAGACCTCAGCTTGCCTTTGTTGGAGGACTTGGCCCTGATACCTTTGCTGCTGTGGGCGAGGGAAAGCTGGGAGATGCTTCTAAGACGGAGTGGGAGGAGAAGCACAGTGAGGAGATCCTCCAGTCTTACAAGGAGATTCTGGATGCCCTTGCCAACCCGGTCGAGAAGAAGGAGTAAAAGTCCAGATTTGCTTCGCATGTATATACCTTTAGAATACGATGGTTAGAATTATCGTTGCAGGATATCAGAATTGATTGATAAATCTTCATCACTGACAGACTTTCAATAAAAGGGGAAAATGAGGAGTAAACAAGTGAGAGGGCGAAATGCTTACCCCTTTCCCGCCTACTCGTTCGTCTTTCCCATTCAAATTATCCCTCGACAAGTAGAGCAGCTATGAAACACAGTCAATCAAGTAAATAAACAAGCACATAAAATTCGACAAAGACAAATGAACAATCAAACTAATTTGATTGCAAATCGAATTGATCAGATGTAGATTCGGCGTGCAAGCACCAAAAATAGTTAAAATCTGTGACTAGAATCCATCTTCCATCCATTCCGGTGTTTCCTCGTGATACCATACAAATAGAAAAAAGATATGTTATACATAAGGCGTGTTTGTAATGCACAACTTGCTATCCGCCAAGTGTTCCCGAAGACTTTATACCCTCCCCCATTATTCCATCCAAATCGTTCCGAATAAGAGAAGAAAGAAGAAGAAGAATGATAATAAAACACACAAATCTAAATCCACTTGCTTCATATAACAAGCAATGCGCTGAAGTTTATTTTTTTTCTCCCCCAAAGGATATTGCTCAGCGTGATGACTGGCAAATCGCAAGCGCCACCATCTGGCATCGCAAAGCTGAGTAAAGACAAGAAAATAAAAGGGGGCCAGAGAAAATGGGGATGGTAGATGAAAAAAAAAAAAGGAGCAAAGGACAAGCACGAAATCAACATCTCTTGTTACAAAAGTAGAGAGAGTGAGAGCATGTCTTGAGAGGGTATACTTTTGCGGAGATGAATTGGAGTGTTGTAGATTCCCAGTTTTTCATGGTGATATCACCAAGTAAGTCGATAGATACAATATCTTGTGCAAGAAAATGTCATGAATACGTCGAAATGCTCGAAGGGAAACTCCGAATCAGGCTTCAGGGGGCAAAAAAGAATCCATGAGGTCGTCGTAAAGCTTGTGAAAGAATAAAAAAAAAAGCAGGAAATAAATGTACCCTAAACGCCATGGCCATGCTGATAAACGAAACGTGCGAGATTGACATTCGTTTATGACCAGAGATAGTTGATTGAATCATGCTTCCTCTGTGATCCCACCCTCACCGCCTCCCTCTTCCCGCCATTCTCGACTGCGCTCTGCAAGGCGCTTGATACCGCTGATACGGCCCGCCCACAGACTTTCGATAGGGCTGCGGTTGGTAAACGCGCGCTGTGAGCTTATGACGCCAATAGCTTGGAGGACTGCTTTGCGGCTATCGCGGCCGAATACAGCAGGGTGATTGATCCATTCCAGGCTGCTCTCCAGCTCAGCATCAAGGGCACTGACTGTCGTCGCATCGATGCCAACACCAAGCGCCAGTCCGTCTGCGGATCGAGAGCGTCCAAGCTGGGGAGGAGGGCCAAGCTGTGTAGCGGGCATTCCATTCCCAGAGGATGACGTTGCCGAAGTTGGCGATGGGCTGCGCTTCCGATCTGGCGTTCCGGACGCCGGAGACCCATCGAGGCCCGGGTGCGGTGTCGAGGGTAGGGATTTGCTTGGAGGCGGCACAGGAGGCAGGCCACCCTTGCCAAGGCCCTTGAGGATGGAGCGGGTCTCGTTCAAGAGTGTATGGGCACGGTCGTGTTGGCCTCGGCTGACGAGCGTCAGTGCACGCGTGAGCATGTCTGAAGTGAGCAATTCCATTCGCCTCTGAACCACGCTGGGGTGGGGAGGAATAGGTGGCGCATTCTGCCATCGGCTCTTCTGGCTATGGGTCGGTGGCAGCATAGTAATGGCCAACAGAGACGGTCGGGGCATTGGAGCAGTGGTGCCGTCTCTCAAGATGTCGCCCCAAGTGAGATCAGCTTGGATAAGTGGGACTTCTTCGACCGAAAGAGTTCGCTCGGTGTCGCTGTCCATTGGACCGCCCAGGGCTTCCAATCCTGAAACGATGTTGTCCCAAGGATCCGGAGGGAGCTGCTCCTGAGAAGACGTATCGGGGAGGATGACCAGTTGCACCAGAATATCGCGCTTGTCGCCGAAGCGAAGGTCGCCAAGAGATGCCTCGGCATCTCGCCCCGTTGCTCGCTTGGTTATTTGCAGAGCGCCACTGATCTTGTGGAATTTGGCTGGTGACCCCTCTGGGAGCTTGAGCTTGAGCTTGACATTCTGATGGGACAGGGTCTGCATGCTACCCAAGCAACCAGCCAAGCACTCTCGCAGCATCATCCAGTCCTTAACATAGGTATAAGATGCCTTGGTCCTTGTCGAGAGTTCGATCATGGTGTCAGGCTTGTGGGTCATGCCCAAGCCAAAAGAATGAATGGTGATCCTATAAAGTGTTTCTGGTTAGGATAATCTGCTTTGACAATAGGGATAGAACTCAACTTACTTTGCGGCTTCTGCTCTTGAAACAACAAAGTCGACAGAGTCAGCGTCAGAGGTCGACGCATCGCTGATGAGCAAAATAGTGGCAATCGGGTTGTTGTGTTTGCGCTGCATTAGAAGGTCCATGGCGACATTAGCGCCCTCAACCACGTCGGCGCGGTGGCTCTTCTGCCCAACGGGTTTGATCGCAGACAACACATTGGACCAACCAGGCCATGCCTTTGTGGTCATACCGACAAGAGGCACGCCGCCACCGCCGGAGCCAAATGTGACCAGACCCATGCGGTCCCTTTCGCCGAGTGTGCTAACCATGAATCTCAGAGCGTCACGGACGAGGTTGATCTTAACACCTTGCATCGACGAAGAAATAGGGACAACTACAACAACGTCGATCGGGACGTGAACAGTGCTGGGAAGGCGAGCAGCCTTGGTTGGTACGTTGGTATAGTCGGTTTGTGCTGTCGTGGCGGACTTGTGGCCCCACGAAGAGGCAATGGAGGAAACACGCTGTTGGCCAGCCCGGCCCCAGTCTCCATCCTCATCCGTTTCAGACATCTCGCCGCGGTCCATATCAGGGCTTCGAAGGGAAGGAGGAGGAAAGTCGACGGCGTGCAAGTCCAGCAAAGCTTGGTTCCACAATTTGAGCTGGTTTCGGTTGTCAAATCTCAGATGGAACTGGGGCAGTTCGGCCACAGATAGATTCAAAGTTAGAATATTCTCATCGATAGCTCCAGTCTCCGTTACATCGTTGAGGTGTTTCTTGATCAAGATGGATCCCTTGAGTGTGCAGCGGGTCGCTGGCTTTCGTTGAGCACCATTGTC